TCAGCTTCATCAGGAACACGAATAGCTGGTACCGATCCTTTTTTCATGAGCAGCTTCTTAGCAAAACCAGCTTTATACTGACCCTCGTTTATAAAACAGTCTGGTGAGAAATGATTCGCGCAAACATGAGAGCATTGACGTTGCTCGTGGGGAATATTCCCTTCGAAAACAAACTCAGCCACTGCGTCTTCAGCGGTTCGGATTTAGGAACATTAAAATGACTGCTGTGTTCGTTATTACACCCAAGAACAGAACACCACAATCGCTTAGATGCCATTCTGCTCATAGACAGTGCTCCAGCATATCAACAATGACCGCGCCGGTCCGCGCGGACTATGATTGACAGCTCCTCACGAGCGAGGGCGGGTCTGTGTAGAAACAATGCTGTCAATCAACAATCGTGGGAGGGGCTTCCGAGCGTGTGACGTCACACGCTCGAACGGCTCGATTTGAGACGGGAAAACATATAAGGAGATTAAAACAAAAACACTGGATGGATTTTTATCATTTTATGATGGTTGTGTACAGGCACTGCCAACACACATTTCAGTACAATCAACTTGTAAAAGTGCATGTACCATTATATGACCCCTTTAAGACGATCAATTCATATGGATTCATTTTACAATGCCTTTAAAACCTTTTTGGATCTTATACCCGGAGGGACAGAAACCTCTTAGGTTTCATTTAAAATGTTTTAACTTGTGTTTCGAAAGATTAACCAAAGTCTTATAGGTTTGGAATGACACGAGGGTGAGAAAATGATGACAGAATTTTCTTTTTTTGGGGGGGCGAACTATCCCTTTAATTCAAATTGGTGGTCTTCTGTGGTCAAATATTTTAGTATAATAATCACTAATGATTACATTTCTTACATTACACTTTGTAGCTTGCTTCTTTATACCGGTAGTTGCATTTCAGTAATGAAAATCGAACCGTTTTAAAGCTGCAACCAATAAGAGCTAGCCATTCATCAACAAAGCAAACCAGTGACCAATCACCATAATCCAGTAATGAAAAGAGCAAAGCAGCAACCAATCAGAATTAGGCATTAATCAAATAAGCAACTCAGCACAGCTAGAGATAGGCTGATGTCATACAAGACACTGCTATACATGTATGTGTGTAATAGATGTCTATTCTCAGCTGGTGTGTATATATACTGTACTATGAGAAGCAGCTCACACACACACTCTCTCTCTCTCTCTCTCTCTCTCTCTCTCTCTCTCTCTCTCTCTCTCTCTCTCTCTCTCTCTCTCTCTCACACACACACACACACACGTTGGTTGCAAAGTTTGTGTGGTGCCTCCCAGACAATCAGGTTATTTAAACAGCTTGACCTACAAATAGAAGGGCGCTTTCTCTCTCTCTCTCACACACACACACACACACACACACACACACACACACACACACACACACACACACACACACACACACACACACACACACACACACACACACACACACACACACACACACACACACTCGGGTGAAGGGAGGTACTGGGATCAGAAAGGCTCTGCAGCTGTGGGTCTACGTGAGTCCTGGCAGGGACACACTCTCCCTCCCTCTATCGCTCTCTCCTTCCGCCCTCCCTCCCTCCCTGGCATCTATTCCTTTATTCTCCTCTTTATTTTTCGGTTTCTCCCCTCTTTCTCTCTCTAACACCTCCCCCTATCCCACATGAGACCTTGACAATGAGAGATGTTTCACTTTTTGCTCGATATCTGAGACGTGTGAAAGACAAGCAGAGGCATGGGAACCGAATACACACACCAAACAGAAAGAGCAGAATTTCATTTTGCACAAAATGCACAGGAATTGCAGTGATTGATAGCACAATATTGCCAGAATGATCTCTTTGAAAGACGTTTGTAGGACAATACAAGAGAATAATCTAATAATGCATGAGAGTGTCTGTCTCTGCGGATGTTCCTTTATATAATGCATCCGGTCACACTGACAAACGTTTTTGTGTGTGTGTGGATATCAGCTCTGTTTTAGCCGGATACACAGTGGCCATGAACCAGCCCCGTCTATCCCACGTTCCACCTGCTAGACATACATCACCAAGACCATCTGTGGCATTCTGCAACCTGCTTCCTCAACTCCACACAAAAACACAGTGGGTTTGTTAGTTTGTTTCCTCGGCTCATGTGACTTTTACAAGCTAAATATTAAGTTCCAGCCAAGGTCAGATGAAAAGACTCAAAGGAGAGGGAGGAAAAACAGAGAGAGAATGAGAAAGTAAAGCAAGGAAGAGTGCAAGGAGGGCATGCAGTTTGCAACAATGCAGGTGATAAAATGATTACAGTAGAGAGGAGTGTTTTAGCAGTTAGGTCACCGGTATATGATGTGACACTCTTTGTTTCAATACAAACTTGGTCTGTACTGCCACTTTGTGGTTGTAGGTAGTATAATATCTGATCATTTCTCTGTTTGGAAATTAGTTTTGACATCACTTTGAAATATTATTTTTAGCCCTCACTGTATAAAAAAAAAAACATAGGCCTACACCTTTTGTATTTCTGGGTCAGTTTCGGATCTGATCAGTAACTTCTCATTAATCAGTGATTGTGCCAAAAATTCAAAGTTTAGAATGTTACAGTGTTTTAAATATTGTTACTATGTTCACCCTTTTTAATAATGAATACATTGAGAAATCTTTTGAAATTTCAAAAATACACCCAAATGTACATTTCATGAAAGGAAAGTTTGCTTAACGTCTGATTTAGGCAAATGCTCAAAGGGCATGTTTATTACAGTACTGTCACTTTTGGCAAAATCAGAGAAGCAGGTAGATGGGTGTGAACCTCATTTGCATATTAATGGAATATTGGTGAGAGTTTATTTTATAGTCTTAAACTCTAATTTAACATTCAAATTTAAAAGGTTTATGATTTTACATTTGGTCAGGGTTTTTTTTTTAATTGAAAGTATTAGTTGTGTAACTTACTTTATAAAACATGTGCATGAGCATATGTAATGTCGGTGACGGTTTTTTTTATGTATATGCAGTTATGAAGTTATAGCCTGCTAATTAGTACAAGATTTGTAATAAAACATTTCATTTTTGCTATTTTAGTTCTTTTGTTAATTTAATATTTACTTTTGTTAATTAAAACCTCTAAAGACTGAATATTTCTCTCTCTAACAATTTGTTATTATTAATATTGTTACTACTACTATAGGCTACACGTTATTACACTAGGTTTGCCTTAAAAGTACAAAATTACTGCACAGGCTGCAAATTAAGCACATCCAGTACATCACGTGATGCCTCTACCTGCTTCGTCTCGTCTCCCAGCAGATAAACATCACGTGATCTGGTGGATGCGTTTATTATCGTGACGTGACTCGCGCACACCTTTGACTGCCGTTACTAGCTTTAGAGGATTCACTAAATAAGCGTAACGGGTTCAAAGCTGGGTAAGAGTTTAGACAACATTTGTTTTAAAGCGATTTCAACACTTTATTTGAACTGAATAGATTAAAATAGTTCCTAGATGGAGAAATGAATCCTCTTGAATTTTTGAAGCTTTTCGGGAAAAGATTCGAAGCATCAGGCTTCAGGCTTGAACCTTGAACTTGAAAACAATACGCGTTCTGACATCAGTACTATAGGTCCTAAATGTTTATCAAATAATGTCAGTCATAACGCGAGGATATGGTGCGTCTCTCAATAAGCTCCCAATTTCGACCCAAATTATTACCCCCCTAGTATTGGTAGGTTTAGGGTTAGTTGTGGGGGTGGGGTTAGGATTAGGCAATCAGGTACTGACTTCAACGAGGGGGGTAATAATTTGGCAGGGGGTCGAAATTGGGCACAACAAGGGCACTGATCCAACACCGGTAGTCGGACACTTTACTTATATTTCAGCATAAATATAGGCTACATCCCTAGCAGGTAATAAATATAATCTAACTAACATTTATAATTTATTTATTTATTAGGGCTGAAATGTTGCTCGTGTAACCAGCAAAGTATTTATCATAATGTAGGCTACTTTAAATAACATTAAAATATATATAATTAGCGATATATCAGTTCTGCTGTTGTTCATAAATACCAGAAGTGATGTTGTACAATGAGGATGTCATGTCACCGCAAACCTTAGTGTCCTTAACAGTGCCTGAATTCATGTATACCGATTAAAACACACTCTATATGTAAACACTTGTATACTGCACTGCAGTGAAAATGTATCTTTTTTTCTTTTCTTTTTTTTAATGAGGGACCTTAATGGCAGTTCTGACTCACTTTCCCTATGCAAGATAAAATATGAACAAAGAAAAAAAAAGTTTTATTAACTTAATACTCCCCAGATGTATCAGGTCACGGTGTATGTTTTTTTTTTTTTTGTTTAGTGTGCCATTTGCCATATTTAAATCTGCTGTAAGGTCATGACAGCATTTCAGATTATGGATATACCACTACACATTTAGGCTATTGAAAAATGCAGACTGTTGATATGGTTCTTTCGTGACCTTGTTATTTAAGCGTTGAAAAAACATGCTCACACTAAATTGTTTTTTGTTTAGTTTTTTTTTTGTGAAAAGACCAACTTAAAACACTTGACAACAATTTATTTTCTTTTTGTGTTCATTTCTTGAAGCTTTTCTTCAGATCAAAAAGCAATTAATGTTCCTCACAGTTTCTCCTAATGTTCCTCACTAGTCTCCCGTGACCGTCAGTGCTGAATTCACTGGATCCAGGGGCAAAACTGTTTCTTCAGGATTGAGCATCACTAATCAGGTACATTTTGGATTCATTACTGTGACTCGGTTCTGACTCTGTGCCCTATGCAAGAAAAACACGTTTTTTTTCCCTTTGTTTGTATTTTAAGAACATACTTCCCTAGATGTGTCTGGTCTGGTGGTATTGCTTTCTTTTAGAATGCAACTTTTAATATGTAAATACAGTCATAACGACAGCACTTGTCATGTTTTGTACCGCCGCATACCAATCTCAAAGAAAAGTGCACAATCCTCGAGTCGTACTGTTTCTGTGATTTCAGAGATCAGCCGCAGTTTTTGTTTTTCTCTTTGCATTTATTAAAACAATTTTTATTCTTAAATTTGTTGGTCAATAATGACATTATCTTTCCAACCTTTGATTCATTTCAGATTTAAATGTATTTGGATGGATTTGTGAGAGTCTCAGCATTGCACTTTGGTGCAATACTTGTACATCCAGCGACGGTCTCTGAAAAAACATTCAGAAAAAAAGTTCCTTTAAGTATTGGAATATGCAGTTTCACACATCATATTTCCATCACCCTTTACACCGTCTACTTAAAACCTTTATCAATATTCGAATGAACCGAATATTTAAGAGAGGAAAAAAGAGAAGATTTTATTCTTCCTGAAAATATTATAAATCTGCTTCTTGAATTTCGAAACATCTTTATTGTGCAGCTGTCTAAAATCCTTAATTCTGATTGGTCAATCATGGCATTCTGCACTATATGCTGTATATAATGACCACAGTCATTTCAATTGACCATGCCCTTGTATTTATTTGATAAGCTGCCTCATAATACTCAGCTAGCCGGTCATTAACGTAAAATAAACTCTTTCAGGTACTTCCTGTTGAGGTTTATTTATTGATAATCACTATTGCTCCTTACTTAACATTAACACTATTCATGTTGTATTATTTTGAGGAGCTGTACTTACTCTTGTCTATTTGAATGGTAGCTTTCAGCACCCACCAGGTAGTTTTGGTTTGGCACGGTCCAGTGAAAGGCCTCATCAAACCAGTTCACATAAGTAGTCCACTCGCAGTGACCAGTGCACTGGCCGTTACTTCTACAGCAGTGAAACTGCCACCTGTGTGGAAAAAATGGTAATGACATCAGCTCAGGAGAACTCGCGCAAAAAGTCAAAACCTGTCCAAAATCAGAGCTCACCGTCTGTCCTCTTGCCTGTTGCTGTGGTAGCTGCTCATTCCTGTAATGAAGTGGTGTGCTGGACACTCAAACTGTAGCACTTGGTCAAAATCATTGGCGTAAGGTGACAAGAAACAGTCTGAACCAGAGTTAAAGGTGTTTTTACAGCCGAACTCCCACATCCTGTCCTCGCGTTTATTGTCATGTTGGCTTCGATTTCATTAGGCACGGAAACAGAGAGACACATTAATTATAACTTGATTGTTCTGATTATAAATAAGTACTAAAGTATTGTATTTCATTATGACAATGTTAATATTGAAATGAAATATTGACTCTTATTCCTTTCCAAACCAAATATGATACTTTTAATCCTTACAGTTTAATGTTTTGCCCACTTTTTTCTGGGGTTACAAGCTAAATAAATTATACATAAATGATATTTTATGGCCAATAACATCCATGATTTTAGTGTAAACTGCGTTTGGGCACAACTATATTCATTAATCTGTATTTTTGTGGACCACAGTGGCCCATGATATTTTGACTTTTAATTTAATAATATTTTTACACAGATCTATACCTATTCTGAAGTACAATCTGCTTTCTACTCACCTCTTTATGTAGGATATTGACTGTCCTGGAGGGCACTTAAAATCTAGAGGCTCATCATAGGCGTTTTCCCAGAGTAACTCTGTAGAGTTTGATTCAGACCAAACACTTAACAACAAGCTAATCTATTGATTTATAAAACAAATAGTCTTTCTTAAAGTTTCTCACCTTGTCCATTGGCCAAGAGACCCGTCAGCAGTAGAAAGAAAGCCGATCTCCTCATGGTGTTGTCAAATTACAAGACAACTTAAGACAAACCTACAGCTTTATAAAGACCTCAGGACTTTCGGTCACATAAGGTCAGTTTGTTGCTTAACAAGTGGGATCCAGTCATGTTTGAACAGGTGCGACTGATTTGACCTTTTTAGGGGGATTTCCCAGGAACAGACCTGCCGTCCTTGAAAAATAATCTTCACTTTACTTAGCAGAAATTTTTAGTTGTTTTTTATTTGCCAGCACTTGTCATCCTTGAGAGCCAGTATAAAAGCGCAGAAAGTAAGTCTTTAAAAAAGGGATCACCATTTAATTTGGAATTTTACATATATATAAAGCACAAACCTCAAGTTCAAGTTTATTTCGGGAATACATGGCCACTTGGCCCATTGTTCCACAGAATCACAATAGCATGGCAGATGCTCTTTTCTTCATTCCATGGTAAATATACAGTGCCAGTCTCATACTCCGAATCACAAACATGTGACACATCAGTACAAACATTACTAACAAGAGCGAGGTCACCCAAATATTTCTTACAAAAGATGTATTCAAAGTTAACTTATACTTAAAGATTCTCTCTGCCACTGGTGTATTACTCCATCTGGCTGTTTCTATAGCTAAATGATGACCTGAGTATCTGAACAGGAACAGGGATCGTACCAGCTGTGTTATACAGATGCAATGTAGCTCTCTTCTACCATCAAGGACTTGCATTGTGAATATTTATTCAACTTTTTTTTTTCTAGAACTGATGTGTACCATGCATTATGTGCTTTTTCTCTCAATCGCTGATTCAGAATAGATGTGAATGTTCTTAGATCACCTACACTTTGAGCCTCCCAGACACTTGAAAAACCATAAAAATACAACAGAACTCTAATGCAGGAAACCCATGTTTTATACCTACTTTATCTAATTGAAAAGCATGTTTTAACATTTTCAGTAACGCTTCCTGTTACAGTCCTGTTACCCATGTACTTACTATGTACTTATTATAGTAATTATAATTACTGGGTAATAACTAGGTACTAACCCTGAACCTACCCCTAACCCATGTACTTACCTTATATTAGCCAGTACTTTCTAGGTAACACTGTAACACGTAAGTACTGTACTGTAAAAGGAAGCGTTACCACATTTTCTTGGATAACGGTGATTAGACATGGACACTAATTTTATCCATTACATCTTTTCATATAGGTAATAGACTATACAAATCTACCTAGATCGCCCAAAAGAGCTACATTGCTCACAGTTGTACTGATATACAGAAGTTTTTTTTTTTTTTTTTACAAAAAGATAATTGAACATTTTCACTCCACTCCACTGTAAAGCCCCATATCTCAGATCCATAATACATTATGGGTGCAACCATGTGGTCGAACAAATACAAAGCTCGGTTACAGCTAAAGCACAAACCTCCCTGCCATTTCTGCTCCAAAATATCTTACAATTTATGCCAGGTCAAATTAAACTTATGTTATTGAAACTGGAGTATCTTTTACATAGTTCAGCCAAAGTGACTTGCATAACTGTGTTGATTTGTTCATTTTGATCAGCCAGTATTAGGACATTTTATCGTCTGTGGAAAAATAGTACATTATGCGCCTTTAGCAGTAAACGTAGATAAGCTGAGCTCTATTAAATATTACTATTTTAGATAAGCAGAAAAGCAAATGTTACTATTTTAGTTTTGTGTTGGGTGCTTGATTTGAAAGGCTAAACTTGTGTATGTTTCCTCAGGAAAGGCTAAGGGTTGTTTCACTGAGAGAAGATAAATATTTTACCTCACATTATTTACTGAAAAAAATAATCAGTTTTATTAATAACAAATAATGAGACACTCATTAATAAAAAAAGAAGTGTGGTGTTAAATGTGCTAATCATGGCATATTCTGTGTGAACTATTGCATTAATAAGTTAAATAAGTGATCGGTAAAGTAAATATATTGTCTACTGGCACACTGAAATCATACTCCAATACAATGTTTTTGGGGTGCTTTTGGTTGCAGTTAAAATGGATTTTACATATTCAAAGCGTTTAAGAAAGATAATTCACACAACCTTATGAGCTGAGCAACATTGTGACAAACTCACTAACATTTACTTACAAAGTCATACAGTTTACATTCATTCCATTTTCTGTTCTCTCTCTCTCAATCTCTCTCTCTTTTTTCACACATTTATGCATATCAATGCCATGAGATATGTGCAGTTTGTGTATCTGCGACATCTCTCAGAGGGATGTTTCTTTAGGGTCTCTGATCTCTGTGACGGGTGGCTGGAATGATAGGATCTCTGTAAAAGTGTGACCTGCAAAGTGAGAGACAGAAACGACAATGAATCAGAACTAAGAATCGAGTTCTGGTTCTGCTGCCTCCGGCATTATTGCTCTTTATGAGCTTATAATGTTTTTTCTCTCTTCATGTTTTTTCACACCTCTCCCAGCTAACAAATATATGTTCTAAATATGTTTTGCTAATGTTCCCGTGCAGTTAGGTTATTTCTGAATGTTCTCTAAACGTTCAAAACACTGTAATTATGCGAACGTTAAGGGAACATTCCAATTGATCATTTTGCAAACATAGGAATGTTACTTTTGAATCTTCTCTAAACATTCTGAAACAAGTATTTACATTTAAAACGTGTAAGACAATTATCCAACTAAAATGCTCCAGAAAAAAAAAAACATTCCATGACCAATGTATAAATGACATTTTTGTGCTAACATTATTAATGATCAGGTAACTTTGAAAAAAACATTCTATTAACGTTACTGGAAGAACGTTTGTTCATAACTTTGAGAGAAGCATGCCAGAACATTAGCCAAAGTTCTAAGAACGTTCCCTGTTAGCTGGGATTATTCTTCCTTAACCTCAACGCAAAGATATGAAACCTAGCAATTCTCTTATTTTAGTTATTAACTGTCAAGACTTTATCTCATACGTTTCCATTGCTCCAGAGGCAGTTCTGTGTTGTCCATGGAGTGGTCATACGGCAGGGCCTCCGTCTCTTCCTCGGGTTCTCTGAACTCCGTAAACAGGGGGAGCTCAAGCGCCTCTGCAGCGCTCACACGTTTTTCTGGATCCAGAACAAGCATCTGCTCCAGAGCACTCACCGCTGAAAAACACACACATTAGACAAATAACTCTCAGAAAAACCTTACAATTCACCCATAAGACTAGCTATGTTTCCATCCAAAGTTGCAAATTAAACGTACAATATATGCAAAATCTGAATATCGCATAAAAGCACCGTTTCCATCCCCTATATGTTCAGGAGAACAAAATCGTCCCTGGGAAATTGGAGGAAGCCACTGTGGCTCTTTTTCCTACATCATAAATGACTTCTCAGAGCGCACAGACAAATGTTATCTTGCATTCAAAGGCAGATACCTGGTGTTTGGGAACGCAGTCACAATTCTGGGACGTCATTATACCCAAACATTTCAGAATGGTCAAACCAACATTTGAGATGCTGTGCCATGAAATTGGTCCACTGGTTAGACACAACCTTAGTTGAGGCAAAGTCAAGTACTTTTGTGTGTGTGTGTTTTGAGGGATTTATTCGGTAAATGTATTTCCATTAATGCACGTCTTTTTATCAGATACAACAACTGTCTGCCTCAACTGAGTGCATATTCTTAAAAACCCAACAACTATGTAGTGTTTTTTTTAATGCGATGTCCCAAAATGTGCACAAAAAAAGGGTTGATGGAAACATAGCAAGGGAATTAAATAGCTTACCCTTTGTGCTGGCTTTGAAGAAAAAAGTGTTTAAGTCTTTCTTTGGTACTTTAGGTAGACCTCTGATGTAGTTTTTGGCCTTTATGGATGGATAAAAAAAAAAAAAAAGCAACGATTGTGCATTTCCATGTCTAAATGTATGTAAAGTAGTGTTTCTTTTGATCTGTTATACACTCACATCTTGGCTTTGTAGCTTCATTATGAAATCTGGTGCTGGCGTTCCTGTGATTTTCATGATCTCTCTTAGCTGGTCCAAGTCTAAAAGTCTATGTCAAGGATTCAGTGAAAGAATAGAGACAGTACAAGCCCTTTTCTGCTTTTAAACCTGTGTAATCTCTATTGTGGATAGTAGTAAAGCATTTTGGGTGAAAGCTATGTCAATTCAGTTGTTTGTAAATGGAAAAAATGTGCCGTGAAACAACAACATACTTTTTCCATTAAGTTAAAGCATTCGGCTAATCATCAAAACACTTGCACATGTGAAAGCAGAAATTGTTTCAGTTACATAATGAGGAAAAAGATACGGTCATTTCCTTTAAAAAGTGGCCTTCCAAGCAACATCTCCGCCATGATGCAGCCCACTGACCAGATATCAACTAAAACAGAAAAAGAATGTTTGATCACATCAGTCAATAAAAGTATGTACATCTCTTATCGAAAGTGAACGGGTGTTGCGTCCGAAATCCGACATTTATTTTGTCACACACTGTTTTTCGCCTACTATATAGTAGGGAAGTATGCGATTTCGGATGCAGCCCAGGACTCTAGTGTGCCATTGTGATGACCTACAGTGCCATCTAGTGGTTAGGGATGTAATAACTACACCTGTTTGTGAGTAGTGCATCCAGTTGAGGATAACCTCAGGTGCTCTGTACCAACGAGTCACCACATAACCCGTCATTTCTGAATCTGCCTGACGTGCGAGTCCAAAGTCCAGGATCTGAACACATTTTTTTTTATACACATTTCAAGATTTTTGAGGGGACCAATATTTGTAATCTCACATTAAAAACTCTGTAGTGTAGACATTCTTCATTTATATTGCACCATAGACCGAGTTGGTTTAATACCTTCAGCTCACAGTCCTGGTTCACTGCCAGATTTCCTGGTTTGAGATCCTGAGGAACGACAAACATAGTACACATTTACAAAAAAAAAAAAACCCACCAGACTAATAATACATCTAATAAGAAAATAAATAGCTCCTATTTATTACATATAAAGAAACATCAATACACGCCTCCATACATTTTCTCAGAGAGGAGAAAAGAGAAGGGATGGACAGAGGATGAATGAATGTCAGGGTTGAATGAAGTGGTCACCCAACCCCCTCTGTGCATCTTATTAAACTCTCAGAGGTCACATACCCTGTGAATGATCCCGGCTGAATGAATGTACTGTGGGAAAAGACCAAGACAGAGAGATTTGTAGTTACCTCAAAACTATAAAGAAGCACAGAGCGTTTCACAAATGTGATTGTGTGTATGTCTGTGTCTAACCTTGAGACCCCTCAGTATCTGATAGACCAGAAACTGCACCCTGTCCTCGGATAGTCTCTCCATTTTCATCAGCTTTCCCAGATCAGTTCCCATAAATGGCATCACCAGGTAACTGAGAGAAAAAAGCCATTACCTGCTGTTCCACTGTTGGTCTGCAATGACTGAACCGTATAAGTACTTTAATAAACGTTTGCTAATGATCTATATTATGTTAGTTATTATTGTTAATGGTGCACTTTCTTAAAAAAAGGTACAAAAGCTGTCACTGGGATGGTACCCTTTAAAAAGGTTCTTATATGTACCATTTATGTAGGCCTACTTTTGGTACCATCACCTTTGAGGTGCACTCTTTAGTCTTTAGGCACAAAGGTGTACCTTCTGATCGACCCCAGAGACAACTTTTGTACCTTTTTCCCCCCCTGAGTGTAGTGTAAAAATCCTTAAAGAATCGACTCACAAATCCTGAAATCTGTCCAACAAGATTTCCGAGGTAAAGACATCCAGAAGCCCAATAACCTGTCCAGTTGTTTAGAATTAGATATTAGGGAGTATGAACAACGTTAACAAAGTGAATATAAAAATCGGACTTCTCATATAGAGGTAAAAACAGGGGTGAGGAAAATAGTTAACCTACATTCTCATGTTTCATGTGCTTGAGGAGTCGTAGCTCTCTGTAAGCGCGTTTGGCGAACAGTCTGGACTGGAACGGCCGGTGGAGTTTCTTGATGGCCACACGCACTCCTGTCTTACGGTCAATGGCGGAACTTTGGATAGATTGAACGGAGTAAGATCAGATCTTGATACATGTTCTTACAACACTTTACATAAGATTCCTGTGGTGTTAAAGTGCAGTGAAGTAGACTCCATCTATGGACATTATGTGGTCATTTTTCTACATCTACGTCTGGACCCTAAAATGTGGTCAGCAAAGAGGTTGTGGATTAAGTGTGCAACAGGTTCATTACTCAATCTGAAACTTGAGCAACTTTGACAAGTGAAGAATCTATTAAAGTGGAAAGCCTTCTGAAGACCAACACAATGTCTTTAATTCGGCAACTTCTGCTTGTTAAACGCAGACAATGGCATCAGCAGGGAGGCTTTGTTACGCAACCTCTTGTCTTGCAAAGAGAGAAAAGTTTATAGAGGTTTCACAGTTTCGCCCAGATAAGCCATGAGGCCAGGAAAATGAAGAAAACGGTTGGAATTGAATGACATAATTAAAAAAACAAGGCCAATCTATCAGCGTTCGTTCATTGCACAGCTTCCTTTAGAAATATCCTCCTTTCTACGAAGGTACAGAGTCATTACTGCATTCTTTCAGCATGTAAAGTCATTTTAACAGACTATAATTAAACAAAAACGCTCGATTTATGGGGAGTTTGGGGGCTCAAAACAAAAGTTTTGGGGGTGTTAAATCTATGCATTTTCATAAAACTTTCTGCAGCTACAAAAGTTAACTTTACAAGTTAGTGCAACAGAAGTTGCGTTCGCCTGAAGTAACCATAGCAACAATACGCCGCTCGAACGCAGAATATTATAGCGCAAGACGAATCTTTGCACTAAATTCCGAAAACTACGAAACAGAAATTATTTTTAAAAGCCGTCCCCATGTCATGAATTGGATTATTCAGAATTATGAACTTTTAAATACTAACAATATACTTACCAGACCGTTCCGTATGCTCCCGTTCCTATCTGAATAAGATCTCTGTATCTCTCCGGCACGTCCCAAACGGTTCTGTTAATGTCCTGGCGATAAAATCCTGCCCTGGTTCGCAGTGACATTCTCAGAGGTTGTTGAAAGTAGCTATATCTTTCTGCCCCTTTTTACGTTCTCATTTTCAATCGAGAATTTTGATTAAGAAGCTCTCACAGAAGAGCGCAAACGGAACGCAACTTGGTAGAGCAGTGGCAGATTTGGGGGCGGTTCAAAGTTTCCACAATTACGCACTGGAGACACGCTGAATCCACACTAGAACATTGTAATTCGGCATGTTATCAGATTTGTAAATGAGGTTTAACTGACTCCCTTTAGTTTTAAAATAGCCAACACGGTGCTGTGTTTCAGGAAAAGAGTTAAACGTTTTTTATTAAGAGAGTGGGTGAGGGGAGGACATGCTGGTGGGACTGGTCGAACTCACAATGGGAGAAAGACACATCCAGTCCCACTGAAACCGCTGAAGGCAGTTGTTTAAGTTTGTTTAAAAGGCATGCAGGAGACCAGGAGGAGGGTAGGGATATTAAGGGCAAAGTGCTAAGGACACGTACTCAGGACATCTGAGCAACATCATAAAAGGTTGGAAAAAAAACTCGGTTTGTAAGTAGTTACTGTAGTAACTGTATTTTAAACTATTACACTGTACTGTGCTGAATACAGGGTAGTTGTTGATAATGGTAATTTGCACAACATGTAAATTAATCCACACCCATTTTACCCATTTAACATCAGATGATGGTGACTAGTTTCATGACATCAACGTTTGTTGTCATTCAGGATCTTCCGAAACATGTTCAGAACACATATTTAGAAATAAGTGTGACACCAACTTGTTTTACCACTTCCTGAAATGCAGTTTCCTATTTTGAAAAAACAAGACACATTAATTCTGTGTAAACATCTGCTGCGTTTACTCAAATGCTGTTCAAATATTGTGTAATTAATTTTAGTAGACAAAAAAAAAACGTCCAGAAGACTTTCTGAGAAAATTGCTTTCTCAAAAAAAATGTAGGCTATATTATATTATATAAATTATATTTTGGCCTACATAAAGAGCTGTTGACCGGGTTCATTTCGAACCTTTTTGTCATTATTTTCATATATAAATGATTATATTTTAAAATTCCTGAATTTGTATATATATTTTAAATATATAAATAAAACAATATATATTCATGTTTTTTTTTAACTTTAGAAATGTGCTTTTTTGTGCACTGTTTTCATGACAATCAAGCACATTTCTCTCAGTTCCCAATATGATAATGTCACACATGCAAAAATAAATAAATACATTAAAAATCTTTAATGATCCGAGGAATAATGTTCTTTATGCAAATTGTATTACTTCTTTCTTTTTCATTTTGGGATGAAATATGACCCCTTGACAGTCTTGTACTATAGGGGAAAAATGGATATGGAAGCCTATTATATATTACCATAAATGACATGAAACTGCCAACTGGCCCTTTAAATAACTTGAGAATAGACAAACAGTTTGAAACGTTGTTTGTACAGCATATATATATATATATTTTAAACAAAACAACTCATTAATATTTTTACCTGACATGTGAATCAGTGCGAAAACATGATGCGTTCGAGGTATGTTATATTCAAATAGCCTTGCAAATGCAAAATGAGTTAAGACAGATTGCGTAACTGATTTGATTTTATGCAGAGACTTTTGTACACTGATGCATATATAAACTTTTTAAGAGACACATCCCACTCCGTCCAATATTGTAAACATATTTTTCTCCAGTGTGGCCTTCTCCTCCTTTTGCTTAATTTATTTTGGTCTTGTACGAAAGACACCATACCCTGCTTTCTCCTAGACACCTGTCTCACATCAAATATAAAAAACACTCAAAACACACAACTCTGCGCACACACACACACACACACGCACAACATGCACCTTGTAATATTAATACTTTTTTTTATGTTCCAACAATACCAGTCATGTTTTGCTCTTAATTAAATGGGTGTATGAACACACACCCACATACAGGAAGGGCGTCATGCCTTGGAAATACATTGTCATTGTCTCTGGTCGGACTGCAGTCTGTTCATATGTCCATCAATCCTGTAGTTCGTATGTTTGAAGGGCGGACAGTGGCGAGGTTGGTATCTTCCTGGATTGTAGTTTTATTGTTCAACCTGAAGGCTTTCAGTTTTTTTGGGAGGATCTTTGAAATTGTTTACTTCTTCAAACACCAGCTCTGTGGAGGGAGAAAAAGAGACTGAATTCCATTGTCACCGTACAGCTCTAAAATGTAAGTTAATTGTGTTGATTGTACATTACGACGTGTCAATTTCAGCAGATCATGTTTACATTGATTTTCTGAATGAACAAATCGCTTCAGCATGGCGGTGTTTAGTGTAACAACATGTAATGTAAGACTCCCTCTCACCCTTCCACTCCTCCAGTGTGCGATCCTTGCTCTCAGGGGTCTGATCGTACGGAGGTGCCTCCGGTTCATCTTCAGGATCGTGGTATTGGGAAAAGTACTGATGGCACAGAGCTTCACTGGCTGAGATCCTCCCGTCACAGTCTAACACCAGCATTTTTTTCAGCAGATCAACAGCTAACGGGATAAAACAATTAGAACTTACTAATTCACATTTTTGGTAACATTTTATTTTAAAGGAGAACTCCGGCACAAAATGAACCTTTGGTCTAATAAAACATTGGTACCTAGTCAACCGTTCTCTGAGATTTGTTTTCATGATAATCGAATGTAAAGAGTTTTATCTCTAAAAACTGTTTAGCGTATAACGCTAGTAATGGGGCATCTATTAAGTAAAAATAAATCGCTAGTTTATACCACTAACAAGGCTCAAAATAGCCCCACACTAACACAGTAACATAATGAGGGTCCCTACATGCAAAACGAAGCATTGAGAACTTTGTAAGTGTACAGACCGTTTAATAAGAAGATAAAGATAAAGACAGTCCACTTCGTGTATACAGACAGGAGCCATCTTTGGAAAACAGTCTCGACTAATCAAACCACGAATGCCATTCATACAGTTCAGCTCATTTAGCACGTCGTTCGTGGTTTGATTAGTCGAACCAAACCATGAACTTCGTTTTGCATGTAGGGACCCTCATTATGTTACTGTGTTCGTGTGGGGCTATTTTGAGCCTTGTTAGTGGTATAAACTAGCGATTTCTTTTTACTTATTATATGCCCCCATTACTAGCGTTATACGCTAAACAGTTTTTAGAGATACAACTCTTTACATTCGATTATCATGAAAACAAATCTCAGAGAACGGTTGACTATGTACCAATGTTTTATTAGACCAAAGGTTCATTTTGCGCCGGAGTTCTCCTTTAAGGTGACGTAATTACACATTACTAAATGTACTTACTATAGTAATAACTAACCCTGAATCAAACCCTAACCATAACCGCAACTCTATAGTAAGTACATGTACTTAATTAATATTACTCAGTACTTATTTGAGTAAGTACAATGTTACTACGTCACCTTAAAAGTGTAACCACATTTTTTTTTTTTTTTTTTACTTTATTACAGACTTGATCGTAAAATAACACGTTAGCCTCACCCAGTGGATTTGCCCCTCTAAATATCTTCCCCAGGTCCTGCTGGGGCATGTGCGGAAGAGACTGGATGTACTTCTGAGCCTGGATGCATAATACAAAAAAAATCAAGAGGTTAAACTCTGCTTTGAATTTCAGTTCATCTATCATCCATCAAGAACATGAATGCAATGTTAGTATTTATAAATGAAACCAATAACCGAACGATTTGTCTCTTCTCACATGTTCGGAGGAAATCTTCTTCAAAACGTCAGGGGTGGGAGTGCCTACCATCTCCATGATTCTCTTTAACTGATCAATATCTGAAGAAATCATGTTAAAGATTATACAGATTTAGATCCACTTAGATGTATTTTTATGAATGCATAGAACGTTAACAGTGAAACCGGGCCTAAAAAAGTCTTCATCCCAAGTTGCAACTGAAAGTGAAGTCTGGAATAGAAACCGGATTTCCAGTTCCTTACAGTCAGCTTATAATGTAATTTGAACCACTTAGGATGCGCTTTCCTCACCTGCCTTACAGGAAGCCCGACTCACTCACAAACCACACACATACACACTAAGAGACGGTTTAAGTGGCTCTCTTGAACGAAGGATACAATCGTTGCCAGGAAACAAAACCTTCCCCTTCAGAAGTTCACCCATGATGCATCCAACAGACCAGATATCCACTGTAAAACAGATATGAGCGTACTTACTCAACCAGTTGCCCAGAACATAAAGACAGATCTATCTATCTATCTATCTATCTATCTATCTATCTATCTATCTATCTATCTATCTATCTATCTATCTATCTATCTATCTATCTATCTATCTATCTATCTATCTATCTATCTATCTATCTATCTATCTATCTATCTATCTATCTATCTATCTATCTATCTATCTATCTATCTATCTATCTATCTATCTATCTATCTATCTATCTATCTCTTGAGATTGAAGGGTTTTTAGGTTAAGCCCGTTTTACCTGTCTGGTTGTAATGCATCCAGTTGAGCATGATCTCGGGTGCTCTATACCAGCGAGTCGCCACGTAACCCGTCATTTCGTCATCTGTCTGCCTGGCTAATCCAAAATCCAGGATCTGACAGTTTTGATTCAAATAAATTAAAACCAGAGAAAAGCATTGTGGTAATGCAGGAGCATGGTGCTTGTAGACTGAAAAGGCATCAAAAGAGGAGTTTTTCTCACCCTGAGTTCACAATCTTCATTCACCGCTACATTGCTGGGCTTTAAGTCCTGCAGACATGCATACAAATTACAATTGTGACATTGCATGTTGTTAAAACTACTAAACCCAAATATTTTCTATTATGCAATCATTTTTTGTAAAGACTCCAGCGGCCTGTAAAGTGGACGCTAAACAAAAACTGTGGAGGAGTAAAGGAAAAGTACTCACTCTGTGGATCAGGCCAGCTGAGTGGATGTACTGTTTGTGAGGAGGGGGAAAAGTCAAGCCATGAGAAGACAGAGATAAAGACAGAGTTAACGCTGCAATTCATAACTGACCATAACATCTGCTTGCTTCAGTTTATATGTGTGTTTGTGGGGAAAAAAAAGAACGCAAAATCTACTTGCCTTAAGGCCCCGGAGAAGCTGATAGATGAGGAACTGTACGTGTTCATCTGACAGTCTTTGAAATTTGACAATGTTGTTGAGATCCGCTCCCATCAGGTTGGTCACAAGATAGCTAGAGAGACAGAGTCTTAGCTTATATCCGATCGAAGCTTTTTAAATCATCACTCACTTGCACATGCAAAAGAATATTGTTTGATAACTGGTCAGCTGCAAGTGCAGATGGTTTTAATCAAATCAAATAGGCTTTTTTTTAGCTCCCCTGACATCTGATCGCTATTTTATGTGCTCTCAAATGCAGATAATTGTCACTGGGCAGACACTCACACCTCATTGAATTCTTCAAGAGAAGCTGCTGGGGTGAAAACATCCAGCAGTCCAATAACCTGGATGACAAGAGCATATCACATGAGTGACACAAGTGGCTCTAGACCTAAAGATGAATCTCAGAATGGTGTGGTTTGCAGGAATGGACATTTGGGATTTCTTTGCTCCCTTCTGCCCGTATATTTATGTGTTTGCATGTGTTTTCGGAGGACTTACATTCTCGTGCTTCATGTGTTTGAGCAGTCTCAGTTCTCTGTACGTTCTTCTGCTGTGGATGAGAGACTGGAAGGGTCTGGAGAGCTTCTTAACAGCCACTTTCTGACGAAGACGCACATCATATGCTGAGCTAGAGAATGAAAAAGAGTTATACAATTATTTGATCAAATTTAGAACTAATGTTTTTGCTGAGACGATTGCCATGAGAACAGGGTTTTTGGTATGACAACATGACTTGTACGTTCCTGTTAAATTTGACCTTTTCAAATGGTATTACTTCCTCATAGCAGAGGCCCTTATTAAGCTGGCTCTTTATGAAAGCACTCGTATGTTCTTTATTGAACCACATGCTCTAGGGGAACATGTCGAACATGAGTGCAAGACTCAGAAGTAATTAAGAAGTACATAGTAAAATGGACATTTGTCTCACCTTTCAGAGGCTCTAGAGTCATATCAGTTGAGACTGATTAGACATGCTAATTATTTTAATGTTTCAGAAGGGCAGCTGAGAAATTGGTGAAAGGGAAGCAAAAGTAATTGCGTCAGTGAATAAAGTAAAAATTCCTGCTGTAACTCAGTATTTTTTTATGTACTTTAGTATATTAAATTAAATAAATCAAAATATCTGGCAGGTCTATAGAACTTGATTCATTAATCAAGATGCGAGATGCAGTCCCTGAATTTTATATCTACAAATGAATCATACAATATGCGTATTTTTATTTTATTTATCTAATTTATTTGATTATTTTAGTGCCACACTGACGTCTCTTTTAAAAACTGAATCATGCATCTACGAATGAATCGTGCAATATAGGCTATGTATTTTTATTTCATTTCATTATTTTATTTTATGGCCACACTAAAGTCTCTGACTCTGTTAAAGACAAAAACACCCAACCCCCATTTGGGACGCTCCCATGCCTTGATTCAACCCTTCCACACACCAGGTCTGCCCTGCCCCCTTCCTTTAAAATAAATCAGCTCTGCTGAGAAGAAGTCAAATAATCACACAATAGATAGAGGCTTAACGCGAACAATGCAAATTCACAGCTCATTTGAGTAAGTGGGAGTTAGTGTGTAAGAGATTCTTGTGGTATAAAATGACAGACATTTAAATAAGGATTTTTGTTATATCTATATTCAAATTAAGAGATTACAAACATATCAGGCTTAATGTGAATTAGGATATTGTGACTAAAAGACTATTGCACTGTTGGTTTTGCATGCTTTATTAAAGCACAATGGGACAAGGCTTCTTATTAATAAAATACATAACAATAGCTTAATCAAGCCTCTCATGTCAGATGATACACTGAAATGTCTCTATAATCATATCTGTTAGAAATAGCTGAAGTCGACATGGGATCCAATCAGCAACAATTAAATCCTCTGTGTAAATCCATTGGTGGTGTTGTGCATCTTTTAATACGATAATGAAATAATGAGGTCTCAGGTGGTCTCAGGATGTTGTGGGGCATCTGCTTCACTGACAATGAAATGAGCTGCATCGCATCATTTTTCAGAGCTGGCAAATCTCCCAAACAAACGGGAAGAAAAACTGGTAATAGCTTCTGAAACAGGATGCCATGTGATGCCCTCAAGCAGTGTTCTCCTCTGCTATTTTTTTTTTCTTCCAGATGCCTTTAGGTTTGGTGTATCTGTTAGTTAGCTTCCATTTAACATTGTCAACCACAATGTCTTTCAGTACACTAATTTCAGCATCTGCCTGAAGTAAACAGAACCTGAAAGCCTGCAGCTTCAAAAGATGAAGCAACTCTTTATGTGATATATACTCATTGCAGGTTTAGTAGAGAATGTTGCTGTATAGATCAGTATTCATACAGTATATGTAGAATATTTGTGATATTGTGCCTCTTTTTCTGTGATAACTATTGAAGAATATCTTGACACCATAATGAGTCGGACTGATTTTGACAAACTGAGCTCTTGTCGCAACAGTAATGCTGAGCGGAAACGGCAATGCCTGATTACACAACAATTGTGAAACTTGGTTTGACAAAAAAAGTTGGGAAGAGGAAGAGAAACATGTTCACTTGCAAACTTAATTTAGCATATTATACGGATGAGTATGCAACTATTGTTGGAACTTCAAAAATGACATGGCTGAGTTGAGTATAAACTGACTGACACGTTCACAATATTTGCAATTAGTGTGGTGAAAATGGGAAGATACTGAAGCCAGAAGCTGCGTCACCATGGCAACCGTTTCAGTCAGTCACAGCACGAGGGAGGCTGGAGGGCTCTAATGTTGTAGTTGAGATGATACAGAGTGCAATGTAGATCTCTCAGAATGAGTGCATTATGGCAGGATGATATATCTGGATGTTTTCCCATGCAGATGGACATCAGATGCAGATGGGGGTGTGGCACGGGCAAAACTCGATGGTCTCGCTTTACCGGAACTGAATAGGCCTGGCATGTTGTCCAACTAGAGCAATATCGTCATATCAGATGGGCATGTTGGAAGGTTGTTTATACAACCTAACTAAACCGAATCTGAAGCCTTAGTATGTGCTCAGTCTGTATATAAATACAAATGATGTGACTACCTGCGAACACCTGTTTTCTTTCAGATCTGCCTTTTTGTTCTTGATGGAATGCCAGATACATAATTCAGGTGTTGGTTCAGCATCACTCAGATTATTATTATTTTTTACTTATCTACAGACACGCGCCACATCAAGGACATTACAGCTCCAGGAATGATTGACACATGTCAGTAAACAAAAGGAGCAGCAGCCTTCATCACATTAGAATCAAATATAAACAGCAATGTTAACAAATATCATTTTCAATATTTTCCTGCCAGTGGTTAATTATCATTGTGGAAAACGTAAGATTATTGTTTTCTCTTAAGATGCATGCCGGATGTTGTTTTGCAGGCTTTATTCCTGCCTCACCCTCTCCTCTTCTTGGACGCTAAATTACGAATCTTACTATGACGAAGGCTAAGCTAATGAATATTAATTTCTTCACGCTGACGTTACTTGCTAGCTTTCCTGGAGCGCCCAGAGGTAATGTTCATGACCACGCCTTCGACAGCGGGCTGAAGTCGTTTCAGCCAATCATCGGTTGCGTCGTTAATATTCATTAGCCAAACCTTACTCATAGTAGTGTTTGTAAAGTCGCCTGCTGCTGGACTCACCATACGGAGCCATATGCCCCCGATCCAACCGGTGTGAGATTCTGGTATCGCTCTGGCACCTCCCAGACAGTCTTGTTTAGTTCTTGCCGGTAGAATCCCGGTCTTGTCGACATATCTTCCGTTTGAAAAGACGCTCTTTATTGCAAAACTGTCGGGGAAAATATTAACGCATTCGCATGCGAGATTTGCCTATGTGTGGAGGCAGCCGGCTTTAGTTCCTCTTCATCTACTTGCCAGAAATGGGAGGAACCGTCTGTGATGCGTGTGTGTGTGTGTGTGAGAGAGAGAGAGAGAGAGAGAGAGAGAGAGAGAGAGAGAGAGAGAGAGAGAGAGAGAGAGAGAGAGAGAGAGAGAGAGAGAGAGAGAGAGAGAGAGATGGGGGAAACCATTTTTGTCATAAAAAAAAACATAGGCTATTATAATTAGCCTATTATTATTATTAATTATAATAATAATACAAAATAACAACTGTATATGCCTACGACAGATCTTAAAATAATCTTTTACTTCTACAAAATATATCATCTTAACCAAATTATGCTATTTACATACAAAATTAAAACTGCTCAAGATTTATTTTGAAATAAAGGTTTATTAGATTTCATTTCATCTCAATATAAACTTTTACAATTGTATGAAAATATTCATAATGCAAATTTATTAAAACCGCAAATGCATAATTTGTTACCAGTTAATAGTACCATCTTTAGAGAATCTTTAGAGAAACATTTCAAAAACATTATTTAAATAGTAATGAATTATGCATGACACTAAAATCTTACTGCAATTAAATACATTTAAATGGGAAAAGAAAACACATGAATGAAAAACCTTTGAAAGAAATAAGCACAAGAATCTCAAATAATAAACTTATGGGCACACAGAACTAACTTTTACTTTAATAAAGTTCATTAGCCATATAGATCATAAACTGTATAAACTATGACAAAACAAAGAAAGAAGATTCACATTTTCACGTAGAATATATATTTAGGCAGCTTTCCATCAGCCATGCAGAAAGGTTTAAAAATCATTGCATGAATTATTAAAGATTTAAGAGATAATACAAACAGAGAAATGTATTATTTTGTAATGCAAATGCAAGTCCACACCACCAAACAGGGCTGCATATTAATATAACTTGTTTAAAATCAAAACAAAATTTGCTTATCAAAGCATCATGAATCAATTTCTGTGATCATCAGCAAACGACTCCAAACTTGGAAACAGCTCCGCCTAGTGTTTCATCCCTGATGAGACATGACAAAAGAGGCTTATTTGTAGAATTTAACCTGTATTGAGCATTCAGTTAAAGATGGACAAAACATAAAATATGAAAACCGTACACACAGCTATGTATGATCAAAAGCACGGTTGCAGTGAAAAAGCCAATAACATACTGACCTGACAAATAAAAGTAAGTTGCTCATGGCAGCAAGCATCCACCCATCCAATCATGTTCTCTTTGGAATCGTCCCTAAGAAGTTTTCCACAAAACCTGCTCCCTAGGTCCACTGGAAATGTTTGATGCCATGATGCATAGTCCACATATGGCCCAGCGGTCCACAGCCAGTGCGAACAAGTAAAGAGCATACTCCGTTCAAGCCCGATCCACACTCCATTGGGGATTCCTTTACCCTGCAGCATCTGTGTGATGTACTCTTGTGCTGTGGCATTTAAAATGTGCACCAAAGTCTGGTGGTGAATTCTGCAGTATCCTAGTGCGTCAATCCAGCTTTTTGACTCGTTTATATAGGTAAAGTGATCTGAAATAGACATGAAACTGAATCTCTGTCATTTTATTATGATATATTAATAAGGAAATATTAATATTTTGTTCTTTGCTAATTATTTAATATATTTGTTTCACGGGCTTGACATTCACTTTTTTGTCCACCAGCCACTGTGGCAAATGGTTTTCCAAAATTTCGAGCCACTCAGCATTGTCACTGGCCACAATTTTGACATTGATATACCATGTGGAAAACTGCCATAGATATTTTTTAATATTATCTCATAATTTGGCAGTAGGTGCTGTCACTTTAAGACCTGCTGCACGAATCCAGCATTTTGACATTATTTTGTGTGTATTTGACTGTTTAAGACCAATAAACAGTGAAAAAGAACCCAGTTTACTGAGAGGCCGCTTTATGTGCACGCACTTTAGGTGTGAGTAAAATTATGTGCAGAAATTCAAGCCCTGTAACACCAACAATTTTCATCAGGAGAAAATTAAACGAGTGAGTGAGGGGAGGCGGGTTTGTGTGTGGAGAGATGAGAGAGCAATAAATCTCAGCTGGTATTGTATATCTATTCTGCGGAAAAGGAAGCATTTCAGATATTTCAGTATCGATTATGTATCGAAAAATCTATATTTTTGACAACACTACATTGCACTTAGTTTATTATGCCTTTTTAAAAGACTACAAATTACAATTGAAAAATTTACATATTATAAATTCAACCCACCAAAGTGGCTTGTAGAAGTGACTGCGTTATACGCCACCGCATTTGCCGGGTTGGTGGGTGTTAAAGTCAAGCTGTGTTTGTTCTATAGTAACTGCTAAGTTTAACACATGTCTCAAATATGGTAAAACACGTTGCAAGATGTTTAAAAATCGCTGGAAAAATGTTGAAAGGTTTGCACATTGTTCAAAATAGGTAAATTTTCACGTACAAGAGACGGAAGAGTTGTTTCTTAGAGAACTGGTGGTAGAAACAGCAGCTGCAGACTTCACTTCTGTTGTTGAGCTTGTTTTTGCAGTTGTTGAAGATAAATTGTCATCTTTCAAAGACAATAATGATTAATGTTACATTAGTTTGATTTTTAAACAAGGACTAGTAATGTTCTGGATGGTACAGTGCAATGCCTGGTTCAGACTACAGTACACAATAGATTCTGCAATTTTGACTCCTAAATTCTTGCTGTGTCGTAGACAAAAACATGTCAAACTACACGTTGCTTCCAGACCAATCATCGCTCGCCATCTTTAACGATGTGTGTGATGTCATCGAGAATGCGGAAATAGCCACCGAAGCATCATGTTAGCTTAATGCTAATTCCAGTGCCTCTAAAACGATCACTCCATGAGTATAGATGACCATTGTCGTTTACGAATTACCACGACACCCTCGGGCTGCCAAAATCGGACGACATCGTGTAGTCTGAACCTGGCATAAATGGCCTAATTTTTATTCATGTTTTTGACTCACTTTGGCAGATGACACCAGCATCTTTATGATGATTACAGTTCTGTATGTCCCATCCATGTGATCTACATCTCTTTAGAGTAAGCTCATCCCCATAACAATTTACATTATTCATCCATATTGGTCCTGAGCCGTTCCCAAAAAAAGCACCTTTTTTTGCCTCAATCGCATCCCCACATCCCATCTCTCTACACACCACTGCAGCATCTCTGTCATCCCATCCATCATCACACACTGTTCCCCATGTTCCATTATGGAGAACCTCCACTCGTCCAGAACAGGAGCTGGAACCATTCTGCAATTGAATTTTGGCTAACAAACAAACAAGTCAGAAACAGGGTTAGTCTTATTCACACATCATAGGACGATCCTGAATATCATTCTAAATATAAAAGAATAGCAGAGTCCACACCGCAACTATAACAATAACGGCACAGAGAAACACTATTGTTGGAATCACTCTCAGAAAAGCCAATCAGAATGAATCCTGCTTTAAGTCACCTTGAATAAAAATCGACATTTCTTATTTTTTAATGAACATTGCAGTATTTATTAGAAATGATTTATCCATGCATTTATTTATTTATTCATGTGGCCTCGTAATCTTTAATCAAAATAACTTCTCCTCCCTCTTGCAGAAACATCAAGAGACATTTTCTCTTCTCTAATGACATGTTTACTGGCGTGAGGGCGGGGCAACCTGTACTCACATGAGATCGACCAATAGCATCCATAACCCTAAACATCTAATCATCCAATCAATTCCCCATGGACAAAATCAAGTAATTTTTTTTTGTTTGAAAAGTCGTTTCACTCGGATATACATCACAATATGGAAGAAATCGCAACTTCCGTTTCATGCTAACTTTAAAGAGCACTGCAGCAATCGCTTATAGTAAACAGAATGTTATCGATCTGTAGTTATCATTATAGTTATCGTTCTTCGTGTGTATGTGCCTTAATAAGACAGACATGATTTTGTTTTTATTCATTTGTTTGTATGTCATTAATATCAACTGTTAGAGATGCAGCAGTGTTATTAAAGTATTATATTAGTCAGAAGATATTATAAGACAGTATTTTTCACTTACCTCCACAGATAACACCAGCATCTTTTTCATGGCTGCAGTTCTGTTGAACTCTTCCACTTAATACACAGTCCTTCAGTGTAGACTCTGTTCCATTACATCTCACTTTATTCATCCACACATGCCCTGATCCTTGTCCGAAATAAGCTCCACTCTTTGCCTCTATCACATTCCCACAGCCCATCTCTCTACACACCACTGCAGCATCTGACAGATCCCAGCCATCATCACACACTGTTCCCCATATTCCATTGTGGCGCACCTCCACTCTTCCAGAACAAGAGTCACTGCCATTTTTCAATAAGACAGGAGCTAAAGCAATGCAGAAAATAAATGTATTTTTATGTTTATTAAGATGGGTTGATTAGACAATGTCATATTAAAATCATTGTTTAAAGTTTAATGACTCACGTTGACAGATGACTCCAGCACCTTTATAATTACTGCAGGAGGCACTTGCATTTGATCTGCATCTTTTTAAAGTAGATTCACTCCCAATACATTGTACATTATTCAACCACATCGGCCCTGATCCCTGGCCAAAATAAGCATGACTTGCACCTGCAACACTCCCACAGCCCATCTCTCTACACACCACTGCAGCATCTGACAGATCCCAGCCATCATCACACACTGTTCCCCATGTTCCATTATAGAGAACCTCCACTCGTCCAGAACAGGAGTTGTCTCCATTCACCAACCTGACAGATACTATCCATACAAATAATATAAAGACACAAATTAATTTTTTTGTGAATATTTGCCTTAATATTATCTTATTTGAAAAAGAACAATCACACATAGTGTTTGGAAGAACAAGACTGGTTCTGTGTATCTCTTTAGGGTCATTCCTTTAAAAGTAAAACGAACAATATTAAAACTATAAAAACTGTACACTTAAGTTCAGTGATTGTTTTTGACTCACCAGTGCACATGACTCCAGCATCTTCATGATGTCCACAGTCGTGTATTCCCCATCCTCTTGCCGTACAGTTCTTTAGTGAGGACTCAGTGCCAGTGCAGTTTACATCATCCATCCATATCTGTCCTGATCCTTGTCCAAAATAAGCAACACTCTTTGCCTCTATCACATTCCCACAGCCCATCTCTCTACACACCACTGCAGCATCTGACAGACCCCAGCCATCATCACACACTGTTCCCCATGTTCCATTATAGAGAACCTCCACTCGTCCAGAACAAGAGTTGTCACCCATTACCAACCTTACAGCTATTATACACACAAATAATATAAAGACACAAGTAAATTTTTGTTTTTCCGCACATATTTGTTTGCATTCTTTTAATTGAAAAAGAGCAATGACTTATGGCATTCGAAAGAAAAAGACCTTTAATTCAGGATTTCTTCTATTTAACTCTCTTGGGTCATTTCTTAAACAAAGAAAATGTACAATATTAAATTTGTGCTGCCTTCAACTATAAATGTTTTTAACTCACAGTTGCAAATGACTCCAGCATCTTCATGATGTCCACAGTTGTGTCTTCCCCATCCACTTGTCGTACAGTTCTTTAGTGAGGACTCAGTGCCAGTGCAGTTTACATCATCCATCCATATCTGTCCTGATCCTTGTCCAAAATAAGCAACACTCTTTGCCTCTATCACATTCCCACAGCCCATCTCTCTACACACCACTGCAGCATCTGACAGACCCCAGCCATCATCACACACTGTTCCCCATGTTCCATTATAGAGAACCTCCACTCGTCCAGAACAGGAGTCACTGCCATTTACCAACCTAATAAAGGCTAACATAAAAAAGAGTAAAGGGATCAGAAATGTTTATCTTTATTCAGTAAATGTAATATTTGCGTAGCTTTCATCCACCTTCACAGATGACTCCAGCGTCTTCATGATGTCCACAGTTGTGTCTTTCCCATCCACTTGTCCTACAGTTCTTTAGTGAGGACTCAGTGCCAGCGCAGTTTACATCATCCATCCATATCTGTCCTGATCCATGTCCAAAATAAGCAGCCCTCTTTGCCTCTCTAGCATCCCCACAGCCCATCTCTCTACACACCACTGCAGCATCTGACAGATCCCAGCCATCATCACACACTGTTCCCCACTGACCGTTGTAGAGAACCTCCACTCGTCCAGAACAGGAGTCACTGCCATTCACCAGTCTGATTTCATCTGTAGTGGCAATTGTATAACCAATACATGCTATAGAGTCAAAGATCCAAATTATTATTTTTTCAATAGGCTATTAAATAGTTAAAAAAAAAACTATAATTCATAGTTCTGAGAAATTTAAGCTTTCACTGTGCTAAAAATGTACCATTGACCAAGAATTGTTTCAGTGTGTATCATGAATTCTCTTACCCAGAAGCAGAAAGAATTGCATAAACCACAGCATAGCGTCTAGAAATATAATAGACATGATATTCATGTTAATCCTCACACAAAACTTTAATTGCTTTGTCTTATTTTCTAAACTGCTTTCTCAATTAATAAGAATATCAATCTACTGTATTTAATCTATAGCATTTTAATACACATTTTACACTGTATAGACAAGCAACTGAATGCAAATTATGAGCATAATATGTGTGGTTCATTCAAACAGACATACATGTAAATATGTAACATGATGAGGTTATACTTTATATCGATGGTCCACTTTATACATTCTACTAAGTAACTTTGAAACTACATGTCAAGCAGTCATTAGAGTATTAGTAGATTGTCTGCTTAATATATGCTAACACTTTGTTTTGATGGTCACCAACAGACATTCTACTGAATATAAGTATCTTTACAACGTGTTAACTTATTCTACTAACCAGAAACCTAACACAATATCCCTAACAGTCTACCACAATCTACTTATACTCATGACATAGTTGCAACGTTACTTAGTTTGTAGAATGTCTTAAATGGACCATCGAAATAAAATGTAACCTGATTTTATCCTGTATCAATAATGAGATAATCAGATAATGCTGAATATCAGAAAACATGACACAAAATCCACAAATGAAAATGTTATAGTAATCTATCGCTTACACTCTTAAAAATAAAGGTTCTTTATTTTCATCTATCCTTTAACTATGTGATAAGAAGTGAATGTTACAGAAAAAAAATTCTACAACATTTTAAATTGCTGTTTATTCTAAATATTTATGAGACAATTGTCTAATTGAGTATTTCTAATTGTATTGTCATATTGTAATCGAATATACATTACAGTACACTGTGTATATTGTCCAAAGTATAGACACATTTTAACAATAACCCCTCTAATCTATCATCTATATATAAGCATAGCCAGCTATATAAAATATATCACAAAATAAAAAAAAACAAGTAATTAAATTTACAAACATATAAAATTTGATATTACTATTACCTGCTAAATGGTTCTCTTCTTCATCTTCGACTGAGCCGGTCTTTTTGAAAAGTGCTGTAGACATGGATATGTTTTATCAGCTGATTTAAAAAAACAAATATATTTGTTAAACAAAATTTTACCTACTAACATGTGGTTTACCACATAATACCAAGATACAGCAGTTTGCATGATGTATGGCCTATTTTGTTTAGAAGATAAGATCAAACAATGAGCCTGTGTGTCTATGGAAGTTTTTTTTTACTTTGGAAAGTCATTACCATACAGCAGTATTGGGAAAATTATTCACTTCTAAAGTAAAACATTTTACAGATTAAATGTAAATGTGATGATGTCACCTCCTGAATTTTTTAGAATTTTAATTGGTTGTAGAATGCAGTTGTCAATCAACTGTGTGCACAAAAGAGAAGTGTATGTTGTCAAGGGGAGAATGAGTTGCTTTATAATTTATAGATGTTTGTTAATGGTCTTAAATACAATATTGTTGTGTATCGATGATGCATTAGGAAATGAGCACTGAATTAAATATCCACTCCATAAATCAAATGAACCGGTTATTTTGTTAGATTTACTTGTACTCATTTGAACAAATAACAAATATAATTCACGGTAACACTTTACAATAACAGGGCATGAATAATCATGTACTAATACCTGAATTAATAGTTACTTCAACATGAACTCATGATTAGTGAAGATATGAATTAATCATGAACCAATGAAGAGTTATCCTTAACTACGACAGGAGTCATAATGATTCATGCATGAATAACAGCAGCCTTAAACATGTTAGTACATATTTGATAGTTAATGCATTAATTAACGTATGGGGGTAAACTAAGTCAATCAGGCTCCGTAAGAATAAATAAGAAGTAATGTAAATTTGAATTAAATATAATTTAATACTGCCATAATTTAAACTGTAATATCATAATATTCCATCTGCAGCTTTGTGACAAATAATTGGAATGGCACATGATTATGTAGTCATTAATTGCACAGATCCGGCTAACCAAACGTGGAAAATAAACAAATAACTTTCTTTTTTTGATTTTTTTACCTTTATTTATCCAGGTAAACTGTTTGAGACCACTTCTCATTTACAAACATGACCCGGCCAAGAGGCTACAGAAATAAATAGAAACATACTGTACAACTGTACATAGTCATACATGACACATAGAACAAGCAATTAAAATAAGAGAGGTAGACAGCAAAGGAAGAAAAAAAAGAAGAAGAACAAAAAAACGAATAAAGTGCTTAAGTATGTGCATATAAATTTGGTTCAGGATTGTCAGCAGGGACAAAAGTCAACTATGTTGTTTTGGAGGTTCTGCTTAAAGGTGGAGGTTGGGATCAGAGACGTAAGTTTCAGGATTCATTTTGTATTATGATCAGAAGGCATTACGTCCAAAGCTAGTAGAAGTGGGGTGGGGGTGTTATCCAAAATTCGCAAATCAAAAGTAGATGAGAAGAGATGTCAAAGAAATCATTAGAAAAAATCAACAAGAGATGCATTTTTTTCATTTAATTTAATTACCTTGTTTGTATTTACTAAAGTTTCTCCTTCACCATCATTCTGTGTGTGTGTGTGTGTGTTGCATCCTGTTCGCCTGTCATTTGGACTATTGTATAAAGCTTTGCGTTGGAAACCCCCTCTTCATCTGTTTACCTTCAACTACCCGTGACACTTCTTTAGCTCATGTCTGACCAACATTGCCTCCTGAAGTCTTATCCATTAGCCTCAAACCTTTACAATACCGCCATAACTGATTGGTGATAAAAAGCAATTAAAATATTGAAGCAATAAAATACATACTTTTTGCCTTATATTTATTTATTATATTTAGCTGCAAATAATGATAGTTGTTTATTTTGCGGAATCTGTAAAAATAGGCTTTTTATCTCCTGAACATGATGCTGTAGTCCTCAGTGTTGTGTGAGTCCACAGCAAAGACGTCCGAAGCACTTTCTGTACTGCTGCCTGACCTGGGCAAGAATGAGATGAGAGTTCATTATGAGATCAATTTAACCAGCTAACCATGTTTAACTGTAAAGTAGAAAAATAATAATTAAGCACCTAGTTCACTTAATGTAAATTAAGATCATGAGAAATAAGAAATGTGCTTACTGCTACAGTAGTATGACATGAATGAACTCATGAACCAAAATGGAATTTGTTTATAAAAATCTCAGTTTACGTAAGGCCAAACAAAGCGGTTTTGGTTTTGCCTTTGCATCCAAACACACCACGACATGATGACAACACTACAATTCACAAAAGCATCCCCTTCTTTCTTTGCGTTTGCTTTTGGCCAGGCATTATGCTAATGTTTCACATTGTGACGTAGACGTTTGAGGAAGTAATATCTGGACTTCGATCGAGGTGTTTTAGGCAGGTTTCGAGTTCTCTGTTAGATAGAATAAATCTGTTTTTTGGGATACTATGAGCTTTGTAACTTTGCAGATCGTATACATGCACAAAAGAAAAGGAAAACATTAAAAAGCATCAATTGACCCCATTAAGAGAATAGATTTGCATTTTCAGAAGTAATTGCTAATGCTTTATTTTTCTTCCGTATACTGTTTTGGAGACAGAACGTGAAATGTTTTTTTTCTTCTATGGAGCAGAATGATTCAATGGCTGAACTCATTACTGAGGACAAAATGGAAAACAGCTTGAGAAAGCCGGGCCTAAAAGTTTGAAGTATAGTTTTCAAGCTTGGAGACATTCTACTGTATTTCTGTTTTACAGTAATTGTTTGGAGTTTGAAGATTCTTGGCTCATTTGAACATTCCACCACAGAAAGGAAATGGAATAGCAATAGCAACTGTAATAGTCGTTCATATTCAGTTTTTTAAAATGGAATATGATAGTAAATTGAGTGATGTCTGACCTCATTATTCAGGACACAATAGATCAGGAAGATGAAGGTTCCCTGCTGGGAGTTTAAGATCAGGAAGAGGATCTCCAGCTCTTCACTGCCATTAACGAAGAAACCCAGAATCCAGGAGCAACCAAGAACCACAAACTGAGCCAGTGTTTTAAATGCCATAATCCTGCAGAGAAAGAAGAAGTTAATGCGTCCCTATTGAATATATATTTATATTTTCTCTGAAGTGTTAAATCTGAATGTTTGATACTTGGTTTGTTTCATCTGTGAAATTTCTGCGTTCAGATTTTTGAGAGTTGAGTTCAGTCTGATGATGATGCTGATGAAGAGAATCATGTTCATCTGAAAAGTAGAAAAGTAAAAAAAAAAAAAAAATCAACTTGTTTTCTCTTTAATATAAAAAAAAAATCATGTGAAATAAAAAATGTGCTTACTGATAGTATGACACCAACTGGACCCAGAAAACTCCAGATAAAACCTTTATCCATTTCAATCCAACAGCTGTTTAGAGGAAAACACAATTATAATAACTGAATGAATTTAGTTTTGACTATTAAAATATTAAGATTTGAATCTCGTCTGTGACGTTCTTACAGCTCGTGTAATAATGTATTTTTATCAGATAGCAGAAATGTCACAAGCGTCTTTATTTTCATTCAAAACAAATTAACTTAAAAATAAACTATAGCAACAACAACAACTCACTGTTCGCTGCCGTAGCCTTTCGGAACCAGCCCGACAGACACGCTCACCACAACCAGAGCAACCGTATATCCAATCACACACAGGAATCCATTGCTAAGCACCTCCCTCTTTTTGGAGCTGATCCGTGATAGGTTCGTCACGCAGATGAAGAGCAGCACAGCTTCAATGAACATCCACACAAAGCCAGAGAGAAAGAGGAAGTGCAGAACACCTGATATCACATCACACAGCACCTGGAGAGCATGAGAGGCGGTTATGATGGTTCTCAGTGAGGGTGTGCAGAGCTGTTGGGCTCCTTCATCAATCTCACCTGCTGAGGGTGTATGAGGCTCAGGAACTGTTGTGTGAGCAGGAACAGAAGGTGAGCCAACAGTAGAGTTATGCAGATGTTGACTCGAGCCACATTATTCACTCCAGGACTCCACTGACATAGGGCAAAGGTCAACAGGGCCAAACCGAAGAACACCAGCCCAACAATCACACACACCAAATTCAACCGCTCCAGCAGTGAGTCGCTCTGAGAAAACATTGCAGAGTATGAGTGCCAAATCTGAGCAGTTCTTGAATGTTGACCATCTACTATAGATTGCATTTGAATTCTGCTAGTGCGTTTAATGTTTCAATCTTTGAAGGAGGTTTTACTTGTTCTCTTTTTGGTGATGAGGGCGGGTTTAATGGGGATTGCATGATGAGAGCGAATGTCGACAGATGAACACAGGAACACACTGTGAAACTGCTGTTGGTCTTTAAAACAGAACAACCATCTACAACCCATTCACTGGCATTCCAGTACACACAGGACAGAGAACCATTGGGGTCGAGCTCCTGCAAAAAGAAGAAAGAACATGCAGAAAATATTACAACACTGAATATTAGATGTTGTCAGGGTTGGACGAAAACACATTTCAGTCTCTCACTCTGATGTGTTTGAGGGTGAAGTTGACTGGTTTGGTGAGTTCAGTTTTGGTGGTTTTGGGAAGAGTTACTAAGATCACAGTGGACATCATCGTTTTGTTATTTGGTGTGTTGAAGAAGTCGGGCTTCAGTAGATTCTCCAATTTGTTGTAGCTCAAGAACGCCACAGAAGCAGATTCTGCGTGACAGAAACAGAAGCTTACATGCTACCCTTTGGTAAAACAACTAAAAAAAAATAAAAAAAGGTATGACATCTCTTTCTATGATTCTTTTAAAAGTTGAATCAAATTAAAATATTTCGAATACTTTCATTGTTGTTCCTGGCGATCCCAATGAGATCGATCTCCACAGAAGAATTTGTTGTGTCAAGTTGAGGTATTTTATCTAAGGTGACATTTGGTCCAACCATGAAGACTTGTCCCTCTGATTAAAAAAAAAAAATACAAGCAGTTATGGGCTATATTTATTTATTTGCAATTTTTTTAATGAAAGACCAATTCAATCATTCAATTTGCACAAATGACAAATAAATAAAATGAATATTCACTATTCAGAACCAAAATGACCTTAAAATCAAATGCTGTTGTTGATTATTACCATAAACTGCACTGACTTTCTGTTTTTATCATTTGAGTGTTTGTTAAATGTCTTGTGAATGTTGATTGCTCTATGCTCAAGGCAGCAAAAATTCACAAAACAAAAAGATTTTTCAAGATTAGTGTTTTTTTAGAACATTTCTACCATATGACAGATGACTTTGCACCAAAATACTGTCATTTGACTTCAAAAACAAAAGATAACGGCAGTTTTTTCTGTTCTCAGTTATATCTCTGTACAATTATAGTTACTGTAGCTGCATTTATCATTGTTGCTGTCTGCCACCATGTGACCCGCCACTGCTCCCTGCTCTATATACTGTGAAGTCCCTGATATCATATATAATCTGAGATTCATCAATAATTGTTTCTCCACTCACCTACAGCAGCAAGAGTAAAACTGACATTGTCACTTGTGTCTGTCGGCTGCACCAATGTAGATATGAGTTTCTCACTGGTTTTTAACATGAGGTTTCCATAGGAGGCTAGTTCAGTTTGGTTGGCTGATGATGATGATGTCTCTAAAATCTTCTCTGAAGCATTGAAGGCCATAGTCAAAAAGTTGGTTACTGCCTAATTGATTGATCAGATAAATACAGTTACTATAAATGTCAAGAGAGTCAATAAGACATAACTGTCAATCAATCGACACATATTTGATTTTTTTATTCTTTTTTCTATTTAAGACTTACAGCCACAGAAAGCACTTGCCCTTGCGCTGTAATGTTCTCCATCTGCTCAAGAAGATTTTGGAAACATCCTCCAGAGGTCTGACCCTGAAATCACAATTGAGCTTTAAACTGTATAAAACTGACTCTGTGATTTTAATCATGTTTTACAAGCAAAATGTAGTTTGTGCACAGAACCATCCAGAATAAATAGAAAATCAAATATTTTGAATATATCTACAATGCAGAAACTCAACTTACATCGCATGGCAGTATACTAAAACCTGCAATGACAGAAATCAGCATTAAGACAATAATAAAACAGAACTGTAAATGAAAATTCAGCAGGGTTAGATAAATCTATGGAAAAATAACCAATATCAGAAAGTTCTCATATCCATTTGTACCATGTTTTATTTATTTTGAACATTCTGTTAAGACCACAGTATACGTGTGGAAGTCAGCGTTTTCTCTCTTACTTACAGATTGTTATGATGTTGCTTCATTAGGAAGTGGCCCATAAAGCAACTACATGTCAGCAAGAATTCAATGGGGCTATGTAGAATGAAACCCTTGTTATTAGCGACACCGGTGGCCGTTAATTGAAAACAGCAGTTGAGAAAGCATCTGATCATAGCGATGTGGAGATGTTTGCACAATCTCTGCGAATCATCGGCATCATGATTTTTTATTGATGATGAATCAATCATGATTCAGTTTGATTCAATTTATTGATTTTGACATTTTATTGATGTAATGTAATTTGTTTGAATGTGTGTCAATGTGTTTCTTGACTGATACTGTATATTGTCATATTATCCTTTTGTGTTGTATATTGTCATATTATCCTTTTGTGTTGTATATTGTCATATTATCCTTTTGTGTTGTTGTCTTCCTGCCTCAGGACTACAGATGAAAATTAGTATTTATGCTCCAATCTTGGCTCATTTACAGTCTTTACAGGAGTGTAAGATTGTTCATTAATGTGCACTGTCCCGAATAAATAAATAAATAAAATTATGACAGAGGTAATCAAAATTACACTCTTATGATAGTTTGATTTTAAAGTATATTTGAGATTATAGGCTATATCTGGCTGTTAGACTATAGTTTGAATTAATCCTTTTTCTTTGCATAGCTCATTGACATTACACTTACTGTACATAATGGCTCTTTCTGCATTATATTAAACACTGCATAAGCATTAGTTTCATGTCATAGAAGGGAAAAGAGGCTCTCGAGCGGCCATAAACGTCACATCCTTTTCATTTTCCCTGGTGAAACGTCCTTCACAAAAAAATGAGTCTACATGCTTTCATTTTTTTATTTGACAAACTAGAAAGTTGGGGAGGTCTCGTTGTTAAAGTTTTGTTACAAGCTGTTCACACATTGGGAACAAACAAAACGCTTAATACATAAATATGCTTATATAGCATCTTTAAAGGGTTAGTTCGCCCATTTAAGACATGAAGTTGTATGCAATCCTTACCAGCACTATAGTGCATACACACTGACCCACTCTGTTGTGCTGTTTGACGTTGACAGCAGCGCGGATTGATAGAAATGGATAGAAAATAGTGCCGATTAAAACTGAGGTATGAATTTTGACCGGCGTGTTTTTTGTGTGGTAAATTAATCAAGCTTTGAAACGCAAATCATTTTTTCACGTAAAAACGCACAGTTTTGTGGCCCCGGAAAATAACCGGGAGTACTTTATTGAAAAACTTCCAGCGGCCAGAACTCTGACCAGCGAGGTGACAACAGAGTGGGTCAGTGTGTATGCACTATAGTGCTGGTAAGGATTGCATACAACTTCATGTCTTAAATGGGCGAACTAACCCTTTAAACACAGTATAGATTAGTAGCAATCAGAATGAAAAAAGTAACGCTTAAAAATAAACTAATGCGGCCATGAGTGTGGTTGGCAGTGGATGAGCCAGTGGGATCAGACTACATTACCAGCAGAGGTTGTCCCTGGTCTGACTGTTGTACCGGTGCTGCTGATGTTAGTAACAGCTGAAAAAATAATGACCGATGAATAACAATGAATCAACAACCAAACAAATAATACTGAAGCATACAAAGGGCACATGTAAATATATTTTCCAGCACATATGAAATAATGGCCACTGTTAACTCATAAAAATTCCTGAGTCAGTAGGGCGCTGACAAATCTACTGCTTGGGCACCAAATTATTCTGACAAAATTCAAAAGCCAGTTCCAGTCCTTCATGTTTGAACCCCATTACGTTAAGTAGCTTGATAAATGCAGATGAGTTCTTTCAACAAAAATGATAACTAATGTGGCCATGAGTGCATTGTAAAACCTAACAGTAATATTTACTCAATTAAATTGAGTTCACTGCACTCAAATAACACTTAAACTTGAAGTGGCTTGAATGACTGAAACAGAACTCAAACTGAATGAGTTATAGAACATTTCTAGATCCCAGAATGATAATTGAATAATAATTGTATAGTTAAAGGGATAGTTCACTTTGAATTTTTAAAAAAAATATGTTTTAGCTTACCTCAAGGGCATCCAAGATGTAGGTGTCTTTGTTTCCACCACCTCAAAGAGCATGCACAGAGAAGTCCAAATTAAACACGATTTAATGACTCGTAAATGTAAGTACACATTGATGGCCTAAGACACGAAACGAGTGGTTTGTGTGAGAAAATGAACAGTATTTAAATCGTTTTTACCTCTTGTAACCACAGCCACGTCCAAGTGATCTGAGGGCGCGGGCGCTTCGGTCTGTGCGTTACAAGAGGTAAAAACGATATAAATACTGTTTGTTTTCTCACACAAACGGCTCGTTTCGTGTCTTAGGCCATCAATGTGTACTAACATTTACGAGTCATTAAATCATGTTTAATTTGGACTTCTCTGTGCATGCTCTTAGAGGTGGTGACCATAGACCTGCATTATATGACTGACAAACAAGAACGGTTTGACCTAAAAATATCAAAATTGAAACTACTGCGGAAACAAAGACACCTACATCTTGGATGCCCTTGAGGTAAGCTAAAACATATCAAAAATTAATTTCAAAATGAACTATCCCTTTAAGTTAATTAATCATCAATTAAGTGATGATTGATCATTAGTGATGAACACCTGCTGTTAACAAGCAGAATCACTGACGGAAAGAGAAACACAAGAAATACAAGGTTTAAGGTCACCATGATGGAGATCAGCGTTTGCTTTAGTTGGTCTCTTGACCCTTGACGTTTGAGTACAAGTTTGTCTTTGGCTGCTGTAATTGAGCGTTTATGAAACATTTGTTATGGCACACAATTCAAGGATAAGTATGATCGGGTGATGATGGTCAAAGTTTGATGATGACAATCATCACTTAATGACTTGAATCACTGATCTCATTCAGAGTCTAATCTCTGATTATATTATTAGTTGTATTCGAAACTAGATTCTACAACATAAGAACTAGCAATGTTATGACAATCAGATAGTATGAAGGATTTTACAGAAAATGTAATTCATTACCAAAACTAACACAGATATCAAGAACCAACATATGAATCTCACCAATGGTGACCATTAAAAAACGATTCATACTGCAATGCATGCTGGGTACTACCATAATACAAACTTTATCAATGACTCCCAGCATGCATTGCAGCATGAATCGTTTTTTTTAATGGTCACCATTGTTAAGATTCATATAGTGATTCTTGTTGTCTGTGTAAGTCAGCATGATACCATAGAGGTTTTTAAAATCTGACTGTAACAACAATGGGCCTTACAGCAGAATCACAGTTCTTTTATAATGAATAATACAAGTTATATATCACCTGTTTAATCAGAGATTATTCTCTAGAAAAGATCAGAGAATCAAGACACCAAATGATGATTCATCATTCCATAAATCCTCATCAAAAAACAACCACATGCTCATTTTCTTTTGGCTTTGTGCCATAACAAATGTGTTATATAAACACTCAGTTACAGCAGCCAGAGGAAAAACTGGTGTTATAAAGTCAAGGGTCAAGAGCCCAAATAAAGCAAACACTGACCACTATCATGGTGTCTTTAAATGAAACTCAATAAATCATCTTCATCTAAACCTCTGTTCATTCACAATAACAACTTCTGTAGACGCATGATAAAAGTCAAACTGGTTAGTAATAAGTGAAGCTGGTAATGCTGTTTGTGGAGTTGTTCAATCCTCCTCTGCTGAGATCTTGAGTGATTTAAACATATTTTATCTTCAGTTGATTTCATCTAATGTTGTGGTTGGAAGTCAGTTGTAGTTCTTGTGTTTCTCTTTCCTTCAGTGATTCTGCTTGTTAACAGCAGGTGTTCATCACTAATGTTCAACAATCACTTAATTAATCACTTAATTGATCACTTAATTTCTTGACTGCAATATCTACTTTTAGTGACCTCAACTGAAATCATTTCAGAGTACTTATAACTATTGCTTTTTATAAACTTAAATGAATTGAGGCAATCAGTTTCCTCAAATGAAATGAGTTAGCTTAACTCATTGGATTTGACTTTGTGTGTGATATTGTGAGCTAGCAGTAACTGCAAGTGCTCTGAGTTCATTTAAAGTTTGTCATTTCACTGTTTTTACTCAATAAAATGAAGTTTCAGCTATATACAGTATTAAATGCAGTGTAAAGTTTAATTGTGTTTTAAGAAATATTATTGTTTTAGTGAACTCGGTTAAAATAAGTTCAGAGTACTCATAACTATTGTTTTTTATAAACTTAAATGAATTGAGGCAATCGGTCTCCTCAAATGAAATGAGTTAGCTTAACTTGTTGGGTTTTACAGTGTGTGGTTGGCAGTGGATGAGCCAGTGGGATCAGACTACATTACCAGCAGAGGTTGTCCATGGTCTGACTGTTGTACCCGTGTTGCTGATGTTAGTAACAGCTGAAAAAACAATGAATCAACAAACAAACAAATAATACTGAAGCATACAAAGGGCACATGCAAATATATTTTCCAGCACAGTATGAAATAATGACCACTGTTTACACATAAAAATTCCTGAGTCAGTAGGGCGCTGACAAATCTACTGCTTGGGCACCAAATTATTCTGACAAAATTCAAAAGCCAGTTCCAGTCCTTCATGTTTGAACCCCATTACGTTAAGTAGCTTGATAAATGCCGATGAGTGTAGCTTGATAAATGCAGATGAGTTCTTTCAACAAAAATCATAACGAATGAGGCCATGAGTGTGGTTGGAAGTGGATGAGCCAGAGGGATCAGACTACATTACCAGCAGAGGTTGTCCCTGGTCTGACTGTTGTACCGGTGCTGCTGATGTTAGTAACAGCTGAAAAAATAATGACAGATGAATAACAATGAATCAACAAACAAACAAATAATACTGAAGCATACAAAGGGCACATGTAAATATATTTTCCAGCACAGTATATGAAATAATGGCCACTGTTCACTCATAAAAATTCCTGAGTCAGTAGGGTGCTGATAGATCTACTGCTTGGGCACCAAATTATTCTGACAAAATTCAAAAGCCAGTTCCAGTCCTTCATGTTTGAACCCCATTACGTTGTAACGAATGGCCTTAATCAAATGCCCTAGTCATCAGAAAACCTTCCCCTTCTCCCCTGTTGTCATCGGTCCTAAAACCAGTTCTCTTCAAAGGCCGTTATCACCTCTGCTCCCCTGAACGATCCCAGCAAGAGACTGTGTCTGCAACCCTCAAAGACAGCACAGGAGACCAGACAGCTCTACCCATTTGGTCAAAGACTATAGAGATAAACTTCCAATACACAAGGACACTTACTTCATTCATACCCACAAACATTATCAAACGTTTATAGTATTTCTCGTGTGTTTTATGCATGTCCCTATGTTTTATTAGTTATGACTAGTTATGATTCTTTAGTTATGTTAGAGTAACTTCCAATGTTGATATCCAAAGATGATGTATCACTGCTTTAAAGGGATACTCCACCCAAAAATGAAAATTCTGTCATCATTTACTCACCCTCAAGTTGTTGCAAACCTGTATGAGTTTCTGTCTTCTGCTGAACACAAAGGAAGATATTTTGAACAACGATTGGAACTTTGGCACCATTGACTTCCATAGTATTTTTTTTTCTACTATGGAAGTCAATGGTGCCAAACAACTGTTTGGTTCCAATTGTTCTTCAAAATATCTTTCTTTGTGTTCAGCAGAAGAAAGAAACTCATACAGGTTTGCAACAACTTGAAGGTGAGTAAATTATGACAAAATTTTCATTTTTGGGTGGAGTATCCCTTTAATGTCATCAAATCCCCACTTTCTTGGTATCAAAAGAAACCTCTTTTGATTTTATAATCAATGGTGTACAATATGTCATTTCAACAAAAATGATAACTAATGCGGCCATGAGTGTGGTTGGCAGTGGATGAGCCAGAGGGATCAGACTACATTACCAGCAGAGGTTGTCCCTGGTCTGACTGTTGTACCGGTGCTGCTGATGTAAGTAACAGCTGAAAAAATAATGACCGATGAATAACAATGAATCAACAAACAAACAAATAATACTGAAGCATACAAAGGGCACATGCAAATATATTTTCCAGCACAGTATATGAAATAATGGCCACTGTTCACTCATAAAAATTCCTGAGTCAGTAGGGTGCTGATAGATCTACTGCTTGGGCACCAAATTATTCTGACAAAATTCAAAAGCCAGTTCCAGTCCTTCATGTTTGAACCCCATTACGTTAAGCTTGATAAATGCAGGCGAGTTCTTTCAACAAAAATGATAAATGCTATCTAGCCTAAATGGATATGTACAGTAAAGCTGCTCATTCTCTTGCCGTTTACTATCAGATGAGTTTTATAAGGATGGACTTCAAAAAAGTAACATATTAATGCATACTCGGTCAGCTTCTAAATTTGTATTGAGTGTTAACCGTTTTATAAAAGTAATAAGGAACTTGAGGTGGGCTGTATTATGATTACAGTCACGGCTGAAGGACGTTGTTAGGCACGACACGAAGCTGAGTGCATGCTTGACCCCTTCAGCCACGACTGTATTCACAATACAGCACAGCCTCTCTACGGTACTATTGCTTACATGAAACATTATTTAAAGGTAAAGTATGTAGTTTGGAGAAACACTAGTGGAACCTAGGTACCTAGTGGAATTACAAAAATAAACCATCAAACAACATAGCAAACACCCCTTTCACAGGTTGCGCCTCCCCCAACTCAAATATCACAATCACAGCTCTTGTGAATTCATGTCACCACAGGTAAATATAGGCTACTTTAAATAAAAGGTTCAACATATTTACTTTTAGCTGTGTTGCTATGTCATGAGTAAGCAATTGAGAAGGCTAACACTCTGTCTACAGTGAACGCGAGCGTCTTTCTTATAATAAGCCCATCCACTGGGCGCATTTTTTGACATGAAGCACCACAACTGTTTGAGGCTGTCTACACTGGACACATCCAAGTAAACCGTATAAGCTGATACAGGGTGCATTGTAGTGTCCATTGTAGCGAGTAACATCGCAATGCCCCGTTCACTTTGACGTGTTCATGACCCGTTTAAACTTTGAAGGTCTAAATGCAGAGGTGGGTAGTAACGAAGTACATTTACTTCGTTACATTTACTTGAGTATTTTTTTGGAAAATTTGTACTTTTAAGAGTAGATTTAATTTTGGGTACTTTTACTTTAACTCGAGTACATTTCTAATGAAAAAACTGTACTTTTACTTCGTTACGTTGCGCGACGTTCCTCTCGTTACTTTATTTTAATGCAATATGTTGTTAAAAGCGTAGTTTATTCCAAGCGCGCGCTCTCTCTTTTTTCTGGGCATGAGCGATGCTCAATTCACAAATTAATTACTCGTTTGAGTCGATTCTGTTCAAAGACTTCATCAAACAAGTTGGGTAGATCTGTCTAAATCGGTTCGCGAATCAGTTTGAATGATCTGTTCAGTTTCCTGCACGCACTGAATCGTAACAGGAAGATTTAAGAACATCAAGAGCGTTGTATGAAGTGGCGGTCCACATTCTACAGTACAGTCTAGAAAGTAAATCTGCAAATGCATCATATTTTTTTGCCAGCGATGAAGATCTTTATTACTTGAACATCTTCGTATGTTACTTCGTAAGCTGTCTGTGAATGAATTATTCGACACGACGATACATTCGATTTCATGGGCCTTTACCATTCAGGTAATACATTTTACAACCAAACAGATTATTGTGCCATATAGCACTACTACAAAGTATGACATTACCCTTTTTTTGGACATATACACTCACCTAAAGGATTATTAGGAACACCTGTTCAATTTCTCATTAATGCAATTATCTAATCAACCAATCACATGGCAGTTGCTTCAATGCATTTAGGGGTCTGGTCCTGGTCAAGACAATCTCCTGAACTCCAAACTGAATGTCAAAATGGGAAAGAAAGGTGATTTAAGCAATTTTGAGCGTGGCATGGTTGTTGGTGCCAGACGGGCCGGTCTGAGTATTTCACAATCTGCTCAGTTACTGGGATTTTCACGCACAACCATTTCTAGGGTTTACAATGAATGGTGTGAAAAGGGAAAAACATCCAGTATGCGGCAGTCCTGTGGGCAAAAATGCCTTGTTGATGCTTGAGGTCAGAGGAGAATGGGCCGACTGATTCAAGCTGATAGAAGAGCAACTTTGACTGATATAACCACTCAGTTACAACTGAGGTATGCAGCAAAGCATTTGTGAAGCCACAACACGCACAACCTTAAGGCGGATGGGCTACAACAGCAGAAGACCCCACCGGGTACCACTCATCTCCACTACAAATAGGAAAAAGAGGCTACAATTTGCAAGAGCTCACCAAAATTGGACAGTTGAAGACTGGAAAAATGTTGCCTGGTCTGATGAGTCTCGATTTCTGTTGAGACATTCAGATGGTAGAGTCAGAATTTGGCGTAAACAGAATGAGAACATGGATCCATCATGTCTTGTTACCACTGTGCAGGCTGGTGGTGGTGGTGTAATGGTGTGGGGATGTTTTCTTGGCACACTTTAGGCCCCTTAGTGCCAATTGGGCATCGTTTAAATGCCACGGCCTACCTGAGCATTGTTTCTGACCATGTCCATCCCTTTATGGCCACCATACCCATCCTCTGATGGCTACTTCCAGCAGGATAATGCACCATGTCACAAAGCTCAATCATTTCTAATTGGTTTCTTGAACATGACAATGAGTTCACTGTACTAAAATGGCCCCCACAGTCACCAGATCTCAACCCAATAGAGCATCTTTGGGATGTGGTGGAACGGGAGCTTCGTGCCCTGAATGTGCATCCCACAAATCTCCATCAACTGCAAGATGCTATCCTATCAATATGGGCCAACATTTCTAAAGAATGCTTTCAGCACCTTGTTGAATCAATGCCACGTAGAATTAAGGCAATTCTGAAGGCGAAAGGGGGTCAAACACAGTATTAGTATGGTGTTCCTAATAATCCTTTAGGTGAGTGTACATTACTTTATAGTTATACATTAAATAAGCTATCATCGTCCAGTTTATGAATGTGTGTACACACACAATGTGTGTGTATTGCGCAGTGGCGTGCGAACTCGACTTGAAAACGAATGCCTTTGCCTGCCTTATTAGACTCAGTTAACCAGTTTAAAGATGCTTTCATAAATATAGCCTACATTTAAATACATTTTGGAGAACAGACAGAAGAAGATCCTTGCATTTGATCGTTGTTTGTGTTGGGCATGACATGACTGCGAGCACAGAGTTTTAACTCTTTCTAATCTGTGTCAATGGTTCCCTTCCCTTTACATATGAATGCAAAACTCCATAGAGTCACTTTATTCCGACATTGTCTAATAATCCAAATGTAGTTGTATAAGTTACTATACTATTATACAAACCAAAGGACAGGCAATGGTTTTCAGGCTACAGATATAATATACAGATAAACAGAAATAATGTTTGTCTCTTCTGTTTTTGTTGCAAAGATAGCTTATCTAATTATGATAATAATAGTCATTTAAATGAAAAAAATATCTAAATAATATCATGTTATATATACAGTATATATATGTATATATATATATATATATATATAGGCCGATTTGATCCAAAGTAACTAGTAACTAACTACTTGAGTAGTTTTTTCATTGGATACTTTTTTACTCTTACTCAAGTAACTTTTAAGATTATTACTTTTACTTTGAGTAAATATTTCTATAAGTACTTGTACTTTTACTTGAGTGCAGTTTTTGGATACTCTACCCACCTCTGTCTAAATGCAGCGAAATTTGACTTGCGGTCCTGTACCCGAAACTGAATGTCTTTTCCCATGTAACGCATCAGCCACGGTCCCACCCTCTGCCTTAGCCTGTTACAGTATACACACCCCAAACTCTCGCTATAGGTAGAGCTAGAAAGTTACTGACGGACCTGAGCGGACTGCTCTCAATGTTTTGATGGTGCCAAGGGGACTCAATGTTTACCCTTTTGGGGGAGATAAACCCATAAATGGCATACTAGTCAATGAACAATAAACTAGGTTAGAAGAATGTATTTTAACATAAAAAAATATCTTACATACTTCAACTTTTAATTCTTTGAATATTTTGACTCACATTGGCAGATGACTCCAGAATGTTGTTGATGGCTACAGTTGTTTACTCCCCATCCACTTGATGAACAGTTTTTCAGTGTAGATTCATTCCCAGCACATTGAACATCATCCATCCATATTGGCCCTGATCCTTGTCCAAAATAAGGACCTCTTTTAGCTTCTATCACATTCCCACATCCCATCTCTCTACACACCACTGCAGCATCTGACAGATCCCAGCCATCATCACACACTGTTCCCCATATTCCATTATAGAGAACCTCCACTCGTCCAGAACAGGAGTCACTGCCATTTACCAACCTAATAAAGCCTAACATAAAAAAAAGAGTAAAGGGATCAGAAATGTTTATCTTTATTCAGTAAATGCAATATTTACGTAGCTTTCATCCACCTTCACAGATGACTCCAGCATCTTCAGAATGTCCACAGTTGTGACTTTTCCATCCACTTGTCCTACAGTTCTTTAGTGAGGACTCAGTGCCAGCGCAGTTTACATCATCCATCCATATCTGTCCTGATCCTTGTCCAAAATAAGCAACACTCTTTGCCTCTATCACATTCCCACAGCCCATCTCTCTACACACCACTGCAGCATCTGACAGATCCCAGCCATCATCACACACTGTTCCCCATGTTCCATTATAGAGAACCTCCACTCGTCCAGAACAGGAGTCAATGCCATTTACCAACCTAATAAAGGCTAACATAAAAAAGAGTAAAGGGATCAGAAATGTTTATCTTTATTCAGTAAAGGCAATATTTACGTAGCTTTCATCCACCTTCACAGATGACTCCAGCATCTTCAGAATGCACACAGTTGTGACTTTCCCATCCTCTTGCCGTACAGTTCTTTAGTGAGGACTCAGTGCCAGCGCAGTTTACATCATCCATCCATATCTGTCCTGATCCTTGTCCAAAATAAGCAACACTCTTTGCCTCTATCACATTCCCACAGCCCATCTCTCTACACACCACTGCAGCATCTGACAGATCCCAGCCATCATCACACACTGTTCCCCATGTTCCATTATAGAGAACCTCCACTCGTCCAGAACAGGAGTCAATGCCACTCACCAACCTTACATCTATTATACACAAAAATAATATAAAGACACAAGTAAGTTTTTGTTTTTTACTCCCACGTACAGTATTTGTGTATCTTCTTTCATTTGAAAAAGATCAGCGACATATAGCATTCAAAAGAACAGGACTTTCTTTTATTCATGATTCCTTTTATTTAGCTCTCACTGTATACGTGTACACCGCCGCCGACTTGAGCGTCAAAGAAGCTCTGGCCGCCCTGTCAAGGACGCTTGTCAAAAAGTACGGGGAAGCTTGTTGACGCTTTGAACGCTCTGACGTTGCAGGGAGAATAGAAGTGTCACAACATGAAATGTAATAAACAGAAAAAAACAAGCAATACATTGAAGAAACCTCTTATAATGACAGCATTTTTATAACCGTTTTGGTCACATTTGGTCGGGTAAAAAAGAATAGTTAGCTACTATTATTATTATTTGCAGGTCAAATCAGTGTCACCGTGAGCAAATGAATTGCATGCCCGCTTTAAAACGAGCGTTCGTAAATATTTCAAATAAAAGTTGCGCTCATGCGGTCCCTATAAGCAAACAACGTCATGTCATAAATAATAGGAAACCCAGCAACGCGATTATTAGCTTCTCTTCCATTTTCTCGGAACTCTTAATGTTTTGGTAGGAACTAAAGTTTACATTGTATGTTTCTCTGGAATCAGCCAGCGCGAAGGATGTCTATATTCCGATTGGTTGCTGGCGTTTTGCCGCTGAACCGCGTCACAGCTCATTACCATAAAGTTGAGCTTCTTTCAACTTTCTGATTGACGCTCAAAACGCCCCAAACGCGACGCCGATGGATTTGACCAAGAAGTCCAAATTAAACACGATTTAATGACTCGTAAATGTAAGTACACATTGATGGCCTAAGACACGAAACGAGTGGTTTGTGTGAGAAAACGAACAGTATTTATATCGTTTTTACCTCTTGTAACCACAGCCACGTCCAAGTGATCTGAGGGCGCGGGCGCTTTAGTCTGTGCGTTACAAGAGGTAAAAACGATATAAATACTGTTTGTTTTCTCACACAAACGGCTCGTTTCGTGTCTTAGGCCATCAATGTGTACTAACATTTACGAGTCATTAAATCATGTTTAATTTGGACTTCTCTGTGCATACTCTTAGAGGTGGTGACCATAGACCTGCATTATATGACTGACAAACAAGAACGGTTTGACCTAAAAATATCAAAATTGAAACTACTGCGGAAACAAAGACACCTACATCTTGGATGCCCTTGAGGTAAGCTAAAACATATCAAAAATTAATTTCAAAGTGAACTATCCCTTTAAGTTAGTTAATTAATCAATTAAGTGATGATTGATCATTAGTGATGAACACCTGCTGTTAACAAGCAGAATCACTGACGGAAAGAGAAACACAAGAAATACAAGGTTTAAGGTCACCATGATGGAGATCAGCGTTTGCTTTAGTTGGTCTCTTGACCCTTGACGTTTGAGTACAAGTTTGTCTTTGGCTGCTGTAATTGAGCGTTTATGAAACATTTGTTATGGCACACAATTCAAGGATAAGTATGATCGGGTGATGATGGTCAAAGTTTGATGATGACAATCATCACTTAATGACTTGAATCACTGATCTCATTCAGAGTCTAATCTCTGATTATATTATTAGTTGTATTCGAAACTAGATTCTACAACATAAGAACTAGCAATGTTATGACAATCAGATAGTATGAAGGATTTTACAGAAAATGTAATTCATTACCAAAACTAACACAGATATCAAGAATCAACATATGAATCTCACCAATGGTGACCATTAAAAAACGATTCATACTGCAATGCATGCTGGGTACTACCATAATACAAACTTTATCCATGGCTCCCAGCATGCATTGCAGCATGAATCGTTTTTTTAATGGTCACCATTGTTGAGATTCATATAGTGATTCTTGTTGTCTGTGTAAGTCAGCATGATACCATAGAGGTTTTTAAAATCTGACTGTAACAACAATGGGCCTTACAGCAGAATCACAGTTCTTTTATAATGAATAATACAAGTTATATATCACCTGTTTAATCAGAGATTATTCTCTAGAAAAGATCAGAGAATCAAGACACCAAATGATGATTCATCATTCCATAAATCATCATCAAAAAACAACCACATGCTCATTTTCTTTTGGCTTTGTGCCATAACAAATGTGTTATATAAACACTCAGTTACAGCAGCCAGAGGAAAAACTGGTGTTATAAAGTCAAGGGTCAAGAGCCCAAATAAAGCAAACACTGACCACTATCATGGTGTCTTTAAATGAAACTCAATAAATCATCTTCATCTAAACCTCTGTTCATTCACAATAACAACTTCTGTAGACGCATGATAAAAGTCAAACTGGTTAGTAATAAGTGAAGCTGGTAATGCTGTTTGTGGAGTTGTTCAATCCTCCTCTGCTGAGATCTTGAGTGATTTAAACATATTTTATCTTCAGTTGATTTCATCTAATGTTGTGGTTGGAAGTCAGTTGTAGTTCTTGTGTTTCTCTTTCCTTCAGTGATTCTGCTTGTTAACAGCAGGTGTTCATCACTAATGTTCAACAATCACTTAATTAATCACTTAATTGATCACTTAATTTCTTGACTGCAATATCTACTTTTAGTGACCTCAACTGAAATCATTTCAGAGTACTTATAACTATTGCTTTTTATAAACTTAAATGTATTGAGGCAATCAGTTTCCTCAAATCAGTGTTAATTTCGTTGACGAAAATAACGACGAAAATTATTCGTCAACGACATTTTTTCACAGACGAAAACGAGACGATAACTAAATAAAACCTAGTTTTGAATGACAAAGACTTTGACGAAAATCTATTGACATTTTCGTCAACGAATAAAAACTAGACGAAAATGTTAGATAGTGACGATTTGGGAAGCGATCCGTCAGAACTGATGTCCTGCGTGTGTGGTAGATGCGCACATTTGTAGGCTACTGTAACGTGATCTACCCCGCGGTCATAAAACGTTAAAAAATTTGAACGTCTGGGAGAATGAGTAGGGCAGACATATAGATCTCTGAATAAGAGTGACGATGCAAAAAAGAGCTCTATTCGGTGCGGTTTTCTGTGCGCACACACCTAACCCGAAGCGTGCAGTCATGCACAATACACCTACAGCGCGCGAGTAGGCTACTGAATTGAGCTCTCTTTCGTGTCTGAATGGAGAAATACACAACAGTATGTCTAAATGTCCTTTTTGGAGAGTATTCATGTAAACTATGCTGGTTATGTCTTAAACTGTGAGTGTGTCGGATGTGCATCAGTGCAATTGTATCCGCATGTCATTGGACATGATCCGACGTCTTAAAGTGACAGTGGCAATAAACCTAATGCGGTCCGTGTCCTTAATTTTGATCAAGCAACAAAAGAAAAAGAGAAAAGCATTCACTGCTCGTTAATAATAATTAAATAGCTTTAATAAGGAGGATTAATTATATTTAATTCATACAAATAAATATGTCTGCTTGAAAGAATAAAGAATGATGTGTAAGTAGTTATAAGGAATGAATATATCATTCATTGTAAAGAAGACTGTGTTGTACTTTAGGAAAAGTGGTTTTATTTCATTTTAAGATATTTTTTAAGTAACAGCAGTTAAATCTGTATCTGTATTGCATGTTCAAACTTAAAAATCATTCATATTAATAGGTTAATAGATGTTTTCTCCGGGAGTATATGGGTTTGGAAATTTTAGAGAAATTCTAAGTTAACGCATTACAATTGAACTAAACCCATTATATTTTAGTCGACTAAATCTACTGTAGATTTAGTCGACTAAAATGTTATTGTATTTCGTCGACTAAAACTAGACTAAAACTAAAACAATTCAGATGACTAAAATATGACTAAAACTAAATGGCATTTTAGTCAAAAGACTAAGACTAAAACTAAATCAAAATTTGCTGACAAAATTAACACTGCCTCAAATGAAATGAGTTAGCTTAACTCATTGGATTTGACTTTGTGTGTGATATTGTGAGCTAGCAGTAACTGCAAGTGCTCTGAGTTCATTTAAAGTTTGTCATTTCACTGTTTTTACTCAATAAAATGAAGTTTCAGCTATATACAGTATTAAATGCAGTGTAAAGTTTAATTGTGTTTTAAGAAATATTACTGTTTTAGTGAACTCGGTTAAAATAAGTTCAGAGTACTCATAACTATTGTTTTTTATAAACTTAAATGAATTGAGGCAATCGGTCTCCTCAAATGAAATGAGTTAGCTTAACACTTGTTGGGTTTTACAGTGTGTGGTTGGCAGTGGATGAGCCAGTGGGATCAGACTACATTACCAGCAGAGGTTGTCCCTGGTCTGACTGTTGTACCGGTGCTGCTGATGTTAGTAACAGCTGAAAAAACAATGAATAACAATGAATCAACAAACAAACAAATAATACTGAAGCATACAAAGGGCACATGCAAATATATTTTCCAGCACAGTATGAAATAATGACCACTGTTTACACATAAAAATTCCTGAGTCAGTAGGGCGCTGACAAATCTACTGCTTGGGCACCAAATTATTCTGACAAAATTCAAAAGCCAGTTCCAGTCCTTCATGTTTGAACCCCATTACGTTAAGTAGCTTGATAAATGCCGATGAGTGTAGCTTGATAAATGCAGATGAGTTCTTTCAACAAAAATTATAACTAATGCGGCCATGAGTGTGGTTGGCAGTGGATGAGCCAGAGGGATCAGACTACATTACCAGCAGAGGTTGTCCCTGGTCTGACTGTTGTACCGGTGCTGCTGATGTAAGTAACAGCTGAAAAAATAATGACCGATGAATAACAATGAATCAACAAACAAAAAAATAATACTGAAGCATACAAAGGGCACATGCAAATATATTTTCCAGCACAGTATATGAAATAATGGCCACTGTTCACTCATAAAAATTCCTGAGTCAGTAGGGTGCTGATAGATCTACTGCTTGGGCACCAAATTATTCTGACAAAGTTCAAAAGCCAGTTCCAGTCCTTCATGTTTGAACCCCATTACGTTAAGCTTTATAAATGCAGGCGAGTTCTTTCAACAAAAATGATAAATGCTATCTAGCCTAAATGGATATGTACAGTAAAGCTGCTCATTCTCTTGCCGTTTACTATCAGATGAGTTTTATAAGGATGGACTTCAAAAAAGTAACATATTAATGCATACTCGGTCAGCTTCTAAATTTGTATTGTGTGTTAACCGTTTTATAAAAGTAATAAGGAACTTGAGGTGGGCTGTATTATGATTACAGTCACGGCTGAAGGACGTTGTTAGGCACGACACGAAGCTGAGTGCATGCTTGACCCCTTCAGCCACGACTGTATTCACAATACAGCACAGCCTCTCTACGGTACTATTGCTTACATGAAACATTATTTAAAGGTAAAGTATGTAGTTTGGAGAAACACTAGTGGAACCTAGGTACCTAGTGGAATTACAAAAATAAACCATCAAACAACATAGCAAACACCCCTTTCACAGGTTGCGCCTCCCCCAACTCAAATATCACAATCACAGCTCTTGTGAATTCATGTCACCACAGGTAAATATAGGCTACTTTAAATAAAAGGTTCAACATATTTACTTTTAGCTGTGTTGCTATATGTCATGAGTAAGCAATTGAGAAGGCTAACACTCTGTCTACAGTGAACGCGAGCGTCTTTCTTATAATAAACCCATCCACTGGGCGCATTTTTTGACATGAAGCACCACAACTGTTTGAGGCTGTCTACACCGGACACATCCAAGTAAACCGTATAAGCTGATACAGGGTGCATTGTAGTGTCCATTGTAGCGAGTAACATCGCAATGCCCCGTTCACTTTGACGTGTTCATGACCCGTTTAAACTTTGAAGGTCTAAATGCAGAGGTGGGTAGTAACGAAGTACATTTACTTCGTTACATTTACTTGAATATTTTTTTGGAAAATTTGTACTTTTAAGAGTAGATTTAATTTTGGGTACTTTTACTTTAACTCGAGTACATTTCTAATGAAAAAACTGTACTTTTACTTCGTTACGTTGCGCGACGTTCCTCTCGTTACTTTATTTTAATGCAATATGTTGTTAAAAGCGTAGTTTATTCCAAGCGCGCGCTCTCTCTTTTTTCTGGGCATGAGCGATGCTCAATTCACAAATTAATTACTCGTTTGAGTCGATTCTGTTCAAAGACTTCATCAAACAAGTTGGGTAGATCTGTCTAAATCGGTTCGCGAATCAGTTTGAATGATCTGTTCAGTTTCCTGCACGCACTGAATCGTAACAGGAAGATTTAAGAACATCAAGAGCGTTGTATGAAGTGGCGGTCCACATTCTACAGTACAGTCTAGAAAGTAAATCTGCAAATGCATCATATTTTTTTGCCAGCGATGAAGATCTTTATTACTTGAACATCTTCGTATGTTACTTCGTAAGCTGTCTGTGAATGAATTATTCGACACGACGATACATTCGATTTCATGGGCCTTTACCATTCAGGTAATACATTTTACAACCAAACAGATTATTATGCCATATAGCACTACTACAAAGTATGACATTACCCTTTTTTTGGATATATACACTCACCTAAAGGATTATTAGGAACACCTGTTCAATTTCTCATTAATGCAATTATCTAATCAACCAATCACATGGCAGTTGCTTCAATGCATTTAGGGGTGTGGTCCTGGTCAAGACAATCTCCTGAACTCCAAACTGAATGTCAAAATGGGAAAGAAAGGTGATTTAAGCAATTTTGAGCGTGGCATGGTTGTTGGTGCCAGACGGGCCGGTCTGAGTATTTCACAATCTGCTCAGTTACTGGGATTTTCACGCACAACCATTTCTAGGGTTTACAATGAATGGGTTTACAATGAATGGTGTGAAAAGGGAAAAACATCCAGTATGCGGCAGTCCTGTGGGCAAAAATGCCTTGTTGATGCTTGAGGTCAGAGGAGAATGGGCCGACTGATTCAAGCTGATAGAAGAGCAACTTTGACTGATATAACCACTCAGTTACAACTGAGGTATGCAGCAAAGCATTTGTGAAGCCACAACACGCACATATGGCAAGCCGTTTTAACTTTTATTCATTTCCAGGATATGAATACTTGATATCAACAATTCAATTTTCACTAGTTAAAATTATAATTATTGATATCAGGAATAATATTTCTACTAGTAACAATGGCAATTTTTGATATCAGGAATTACATTTTCACTAGTAACAATGTTAATTCTTGACATCAACATATACAACATCAACAATTGAATTGCAACAAGTAAAAACTATAATTCTTGATATCTGTAATTGTATTTTCACTAGTGAAATGTCACTATAGGCTGCCATTCAAAATCAATTCTTGATATCAAGAATTTATTTCTTACTAGTTGAAATTCCAATTCACATATCAGAAATGCAATTCTTACTAGTAAAAACCTTTATTTTTGATATCAAGAATTAAATTGTCACTAGTTGAAATGTCTATTCTTGATATCAACAATTGAATTGCTACTAGTAACAATGTTCATTTTTGATATCAATAATTCAATTTTCACTAGTGACAATGTTAATTTATGATATCATGAATGTGATTGTTACTAGTAAGAAAGCCATTTTAGATATCTGAAATAATATTGATATCAATAATACATTTTCAGATATCGAGAATAAACATTTTTACTAGTAGCAATTCAATTGTTGATATCAGGAATTCGCATTTTTACTAGTAACAATGTAATTCTTGATATCAGGAATATAATTCTTGATATCAACAATTGAATTCTTGATATCAACAATTGAATTCTTGATAACAACAATTGAATTCTTGATATCAAAAATGTAATTCTTGATATCAAAAATGTAATTCTTGATATCAAAAATGTAATTCTTGATATCAACAATTGATTTTGAATGGCAGCCTATGGTGACATTTCACTAGTGAAAATACAATTGTTGATATCAAGAATTCAATTGTTGATATCAAGAATTCAATTGTTGATATCAAGAATTCAATTGTTGTTATCAAGAATTCAATTGTTGATATCAAGAATTCAATTGTTGATATCAAGAATTATATTCCTGATATCAAGAATTACATTGTTGATATCAAGAATTCAATTGTTGATATCAAAAATGTAATTGTTGATATCAATAATTATAATTTTAACTAGTGAAAATTGAATTGTTGATATCAAGGATTCATATCCTGAAAATGAATAAAAGTTAAAACGGCTTGCCATACGCACAACCTTAAGGCGGATGGGCTACAACAGCAGAAGACCCCACCGGGTACCACTCATCTCCACTACAAATAGGAAAAAGAGGCTACAATTTGCAAGAGCTCACCAAAATTGGACAGTTGAAGACTGGAAAAATGTTGCCTGGTCTGATGAGTCTCGATTTCTGTTGAGACATTCAGATGGTAGAGTCAGAATTTGGCGTAAACAGAATGAGAACATGGATCCATCATGTCTTGTTACCACTGTGCAGGCTGGTGGTGGTGGTGTAATGGTGTGGGGATGTTTTCTTGGCACACTTTAGGCCCCTTAGTGCCAATTGGGCATCGTTTAAATGCCACGGCCTACCTGAGCATTGTTTCTGACCATGTCCATCCCTTTATGGCCACCATACCCATCCTCTGATGGCTACTTCCAGCAGGATAATGCACCATGTCACAAAGCTCAATCATTTCTAATTGGTTTCTTGAACATGACAATGAGTTCACTGTACTAAAATGGCCCCCACAGTCACCAGATCTCAACCCAATAGAGCATCTTTGGGATGTGGTGGAACGGGAGCTTCGTGCCCTGAATGTGCATCCCACAAATCTCCATCAACTGCAAGATGCTATCCTATCAATATGGGCCAACATTTCTAAAGAATGCTTTCAGCACCTTGTTGAATCAATGCCACGTAGAATTAAGGCAATTCTGAAGGCGAAAGGGGGTCAAACACAGTATTAGTATGGTGTTCCTAATAATCCTTTAGGTGAGTGTACATTACTTTATAGTTATACATTAAATAAGCTATCATCGTCCAGTTTATGAATGTGTGTACACACACAATGTGTGTGTATTGCGCAGTGGCGTGCGAACTCGACTTGAAAACGAATGCCTTTGCCTGCCTTATTAGACTCAGTTAACCAGTTTAAAGATGCTTTCATAAATATAGCCTACATTTAAATACATTTTGGAGAACAGACAGAAGAAGATCCTTGCATTTGATCGTTGTTTGTGTTGGGCATGACATGACTGCGAGCACAGAGTTTTAACTCTTTCTAATCTGTGTCAATGGTTCCCTTCCCTTTACATATGAATGCAAAACTCCATAGAGTCACTTTATTCCGACATTGTCTAATAATCCAAATGTAGTTGTATAAGTCACTATACTATTATACAAACCAAAGGACAGCCAATGGTTTTCAGGCTACAGATATAATATACAGATAAACAGAAATAATGTTTGTCTCTTCTGTTTTTGTTGCAAAGATAGCTTATCTAATTATGATAATAATAGTCATTTAAATGAAAAAAATATCTAAATAATATCATGTTATATATACAGTATATATATGTATATATATATATATATAGGCCGATTTGATCCAAAGTAACTAGTAACTAACTACTTGAGTAGTTTTTTCATTGGATACTTTTTTACTCTTACTCAAGTAACTTTTAAGATTATTACTTTTACTTTGAGTAAATATTTCTATAAGTACTTGTACTTTTACTTGAGTGCAGTTTTTGGATACTCTACCCACCTCTGTCTAAATGCAGCGAAATTTGACTTGCGGTCCTGTACCCGAAACTGAATGTCTTTTCCCATGTAACGCATCAGCCACGGTCCCACCCTCTGCCTTAGCCTGTTACAGTATACACACCCCAAACTCTCGCTATAGGTAGAGCTAGAAAGTTACTGACGGACCTGAGCGGACTGCTCTCAATGTTTTGATGGTGCCAAGGGGACTCAATGTTTACCCTTTTGGGGGAGATAAACCCATAAATGGCATACTAGTCAATGAACAATAAACTAGGTTAGAAGAATGTATTTTAACATAAAAAAATATCTTACATACTTCAACTTTTAATTCTTTGAATATTTTGACTCACATTGGCAGATGACTCCAGAATGTTGTTGATGGCTACAGTTGTTTACTCCCCATCCACTTGATGAACAGTTTTTCAGTGTAGATTCATTCCCAGCACATTGAACATCATCCATCCATATTGGCCCTGATCCTTGTCCAAAATAAGGACCTCTTTTAGCTTCTATCACATTCCCACATCCCATCTCTCTACACACCACTGCAGCATCTGACAGATCCCAGCCATCATCACACACTGTTCCCCATATTCCCTTATAGAGAACCTCCACTCGTCCAGAACAGGAGTCACTGCCATTTACCAACCTAATAAAGCCTAACATAAAAAAAAGAGTAAAGGGATCAGAAATGTTTATCTTTATTCAGTAAATGCAATATTTACGTAGCTTTCATCCACCTTCACAGATGACTCCAGCATCTTCAGAATGTCCACAGTTGTGACTTTTCCATCCACTTGTCCTACAGTTCTTTAGTGAGGACTCAGTGCCAGCGCAGTTTACATCATCCATCCATATCTGTCCTGATCCTTGTCCAAAATAAGCAACACTCTTTGCCTCTATCACATTCCCACAGCCCATCTCTCTACACACCACTGCAGCATCTGACAGATCCCAGCCATCATCACACACTGTTCCCCATGTTCCATTATAGAGAACCTCCACTCGTCCAGAACAGGAGTCAATGCCATTTACCAACCTAATAAAGGCTAACATAAAAAAGAGTAAAGGGATCAGAAATGTTTATCTTTATTCAGTAAAGGCAATATTTACGTAGCTTTCATCCACCTTCACAGATGACTCCAGCATCTTCAGAATGCACACAGTTGTGACTTTCCCATCCTCTTGCCGTACAGTTCTTTAGTGAGGACTCAGTGCCAGCGCAGTTTACATCATCCATCCATATCTGTCCTGATCCTTGTCCAAAATAAGCAACACTCTTTGCCTCTATCACATTCCCACAGCCCATCTCTCTACACACCACTGCAGCATCTGACAGATCCCAGCCATCATCACACACTGTTCCCCATGTTCCATTATAGAGAACCTCCACTCGTCCAGAACAGGAGTCAATGCCACTCACCAACCTTACATCTATTATACACAAAAATAATATAAAGACACAAGTAAGTTTTTGTTTTTTACTCCCACGTACAGTATTTGTGTATCTTCTTTCATTTGAAAAAGATCAGCGACATATAGCATTCAAAAGAACAGGACTTTCTTTTATTCATGATTCCTTTTATTTAGCTCTCACTGTATACGTGTACACCGCCGCCGACTTGAGCGTCAAAGAAGCTCTGGCCGCCCTGTCAAGGACGCTTGTCAAAAAGTACGGGGAAGCTTGTTGACGCTTTGAACGCTCTGACGTTGCAGGGAGAATAGAAGTGTCACAACATGAAATGTAATAAACAGAAAAAAACAAGCAATACATTGAAGAAACCTCTTATAATGACAGCATTTTTATAACCGTTTTGGTCACATTTGGTCGGGTAAAAAAGAATAGTTAGCTACTATTATTATTATTTGCAGGTCAAATCAGTGTCACCGTGAGCAAATGAATTGCATGCCCGCTTTAAAACGAGCGTTCGTAAATATTTCAAATAAAAGTTGCGCTCATGCGGTCCCTATAAGCAAACAACGTCATGTCATAAATAATAGGAAACCCAGCAACGCGATTATTAGCTTCTCTTCCATTTTCTCGGAACTCTTAATGTTTTGGTAGGAACTAAAGTTTACATTGTATGTTTCTCTGGAATCAGCCAGCGCGAAGGATGTCTATATTCCGATTGGTTGCTGGCGTTTTGCCGCTGAACCGCGTCACAGCTCATTACCATAAAGTTTAGCTTCTTTCAACTTTCTGATTGACGCTCAAAACGCCCCAAACGCGACGCCGATGGATTTGACCAAGAAGTCCAAATTAAACACGATTTAATGACTCGTAAATGTAAGTACACATTGATGGCCTAAGACACGAAACGAGTGGTTTGTGTGAGAAAACGAACAGTATTTATATCGTTTTTACCTCTTGTAACCACAGCCACGTCCAAGTGATCTGAGGGCGCGGGCGCTTTAGTCTGTGCCTTACAAGAGGTAAAAACGATATAAATACTGTTTGTTTTCTCACACAAACGGCTCGTTTCGTGTCTTAGGCCATCAATGTGTACTAACATTTACGAGTCATTAAATCATGTTTAATTTGGACTTCTCTGTGCATACTCTTAGAGGTGGTGACCATAGACCTGCATTATATGACTGACAAACAAGAACGGTTTGACCTAAAAATATCAAAATTGAAACTACTGCGGAAACAAAGACACCTACATCTTGGATGCCCTTGAGGTAAGCTAAAACATATCAAAAATTAATTTCAAAGTGAACTATCCCTTTAAGTTAGTTAATTAATCAATTAAGTGATGATTGATCATTAGTGATGAACACCTGCTGTTAACAAGCAGAATCACTGACGGAAAGAGAAACACAAGAAATACAAGGTTTAAGGTCACCATGATGGAGATCAGCGTTTGCTTTAGTTGGTCTCTTGACCCTTGACGTTTGAGTACAAGTTTGTCTTTGGCTGCTGTAATTGAGCGTTTATGAAACATTTGTTATGGCACACAATTCAAGGATAAGTATGATCGGGTGATGATGGTCAAAGTTTGATGATGACAATCATCACTTAATGACTTGAATCACTGATCTCATTCAGAGTCTAATCTCTGATTATATTATTAGTTGTATTCGAAACTAGATTCTACAACATAAGAACTAGCAATGTTATGACAATCAGATAGTATGAAGGATTTTACAGAAAATGTAATTCATTACCAAAACTAACACAGATATCAAGAATCAACATATGAATCTCACCAATGGTGACCATTAAAAAACGATTCATACTGCAATGCATGCTGGGTACTACCATAATACAAACTTTATCCATGGCTCCCAGCATGCATTGCAGCATGAATCGTTTTTTTAATGGTCACCATTGTTGAGATTCATATAGTGATTCTTGTTGTCTGTGTAAGTCAGCATGATACCATAGAGGTTTTTAAAATCTGACTGTAACAACAATGGGCCTTACAGCAGAATCACAGTTCTTTTATAATGAATAATACAAGTTATATATCACCTGTTTAATCAGAGATTATTCTCTAGAAAAGATCAGAGAATCAAGACACCAAATGATGATTCATCATTCCATAAATCATCATCAAAAAACAACCACATGCTCATTTTCTTTTGGCTTTGTGCCATAACAAATGTGTTATATAAACACTCAGTTACAGCAGCCAGAGGAAAAACTGGTGTTATAAAGTCAAGGGTCAAGAGCCCAAATAAAGCAAACACTGACCACTATCATGGTGTCTTTAAATGAAACTCAATAAATCATCTTCATCTAAACCTCTGTTCATTCACAATAACAACTTCTGTAGACGCATGATAAAAGTCAAACTGGTTAGTAATAAGTGAAGCTGGTAATGCTGTTTGTGGAGTTGTTCAATCCTCCTCTGCTGAGATCTTGAGTGATTTAAACATATTTTATCTTCAGTTGATTTCATATAATGTTGTGGTTGGAAGTCAGTTGTAGTTCTTGTGTTTCTCTTTCCTTCAGTGATTCTGCTTGTTAACAGCAGGTGTTCATCACTAATGTTCAACAATCACTTAATTAATCACTTAATTGATCACTTAATTTCTTGACTGCAATATCTATTTTTAGTGACCTCAACTGAAATCATTTCAGAGTACTTATAACTATTGCTTTTTATAAACTTAAATGAATTGAGGCAATCAGTTTCCTCAAATGAAATGAGTTAGCTTAACTCATTGGATTTGACTTTGTGTGTGATATTGTGAGCTAGCAGTAACTGCAAGTGCTCTGAGTTCATTTAAAGTTTGTCATTTCACTGTTTTTACTCAATAAAATGAAGTTTCAGCTATATACAGTATTAAATGCAGTGTAAAGTTTAATTGTGTTTTAAGAAATATTACTGTTTTAGTGAACTCGGTTAAAATAAGTTCAGAGTACTCATAACTATTGTTTTTTTATAAACTTAAATGAATTGAGGCAATCGGTCTCCTCAAATGAAATGAGTTAGCTTAACACTTGTTGGGTTTTACAGTGTGTGGTTGGCAGTGGATGAGCCAGTGGGATCAGACTACATTACCAGCAGAGGTTGTCCCTGGTCTGACTGTTGTACCCGTGTTGCTGATGTTAGTAACAGCTGAAAAACAATGAATAACAATGAATCAACAAACAAACAAATAATACTGAAGCATACAAAGGGCACATGCAAATATATTTTCCAGCACAGTATGAAATAATGACCACTGTTTACACATAAAAATTCCTGAGTCAGTAGGGCGCTGACAAATCTACTGCTTGGGCACCAAATTATTCTGACAAAATTCAAAAGCCAGTTCCAGTCCTTCATGTTTGAACCCCATTACGTTAAGTAGCTTGATAAATGCCGATGAGTGTAGCTTGATAAATGCAGATGAGTTCTTTCAACAAAAATTATAACGAATGAGGCCATGAGTGTGGTTGGCAGTGGATGAGCCAGAGGGATCAGACTACATTACCAGCAGAGGTTGTCCCTGGTCTGACTGTTGTACCGGTGCTGCTGATGTTAGTAACAGCTGAAAAAATAATGACAGATGAATAACAATGAATCAACAAACAAACAAATAATACTGAAGCATACAATGGGCACATGCAAATATATTTTCCAGCACAGTATATGAAATAATGGCCACTGTTCACTCATAAAAATTCCTGAGTCAGTAGGGTGCTGATAGATCTACTGCTTGGGCACCAAATTATTCTGACAAAATTCAAAAGCCAGTTCCAGTCCTTCATGTTTGAACCCCATTACGTTAAGTAGCTTGATAAATGCCGATGAGTGTAGCTTGATAAATGCAGATGAGTTCTTTCAACAAAAATTATAACGAATGAGGCCATGAGTGTGGTTGGCAGTGGATGAGCCAGAGGGATCAGACTACATTACCAGCAGAGGTTGTCCCTGGTCTGACTGTTGTACCGGTGCTGCTGATGTTAGTAACAGCTGAAAAAATAATGACAGATGAATAACAATGAATCAACAAACAAACAAATAATACTGAAGCATACAAAGGGCACCTGTAAATATATTTTCCAGCACAGTATATGAAATAATGGCCACTGTTCACTCATAAAAATTCCTGAGTCAGTAGGGTGCTGACAAATCTATTGCTTGGGCACCAAATTATTCTGACAAAATTCAAAAGCCAGTTCCAGTCCTTCATGTTTGAACCCCATTACGTTGTAACAAATGGCCTTAATCAAATGCCCTAGTCATCAGAAAACCTTCCCCTTCTCCCCTGTTGTCATCGGTCCTAAAACCAGTTCTCTTCAAAGGCCGTTATCACCTCTGCTCCCCTGAACGATCCCAGCAAGAGACTGTGTCTGCAACCCTCAAAGACAGCAGGAGACCAGACAGCTCTACCCATTTGGTCAAAGACTATAGAGATAAACTTCCAATACACAAGGACACTTACTCCATTCATACCCACAAACATTATCAAACGTTTATAGTATTTCTCGTGTGTTTTATGCATGTCCCTATGTTTTATTAGTTATGACTAGTTATGATTCTTTAGTTATGTTAGAGTTACTTCCGATGTTGATATCCAAAGATGATGTATCACTGCTTTAAAGGGATACTCCACCCAAAAATGAAAATTCTGTCATCATTTACTCACCCTCAAGTTGTTGCAAACCTGTATGAGTTTCTTTCTTCTGCTGAACACAAAGGAAGATATTTTGAACAACGATTGGAACTTTGGCACCATTGACTTCCATAGTATTTTTTTTTCTACTATGGAAGTCAATGGTGCCAAACAACTGTTTGGTTCCAATTGTTCTTCAAAATATCTTTCTTTGTGTTCAGCAGAAGAAAGAAACTCATACAGGTTTGCAACAACTTGAAGGTGAGTAAATTATGACAAAATTTTCATTTTTGGGTGGAGTATCCCTTTAATTGTCATCAAATCCCCACTTACTTGGTATCAAAAGAAACCAAGAATTTGATTTTATAATCAATGGTGTACAATATGTCATTTCAACAAAAATGATAACTAATGCGGCCATGAGTGTGGTTGGCAGTGGATGAGCCAGAGGGATCAGACTACATTACCAGCAGAGGTTGTCCCTGGTCTGACTGTTGTACCGGTGCTGCTGATGTTAGTAACAGCTGAAAAAATAATGACAGATGAATAACAATGAATCAACAAACAAACAAATAATACTGAAGCATACAATGGGCACATGCAAATATATTTTCCAGCACAGTATATGAAATAATGGCCACTGTTCACTCATAAAAATTCCTGAGTCAGTAGGGTGCTGATAGATCTACTGCTTGGGCACCAAATTATTCTGACAAAATTCAAAAGCCAGTTCCAGTCCTTCATGTTTGAACCCCATTACGTTAAGCTTGATAAATGCAGGCGAGTTCTTTCAACAAAAATGATAAATGCTATCTAGCCTAAATGGATATGTACAGTAAAGCTGCTCATTCTCTTGCCGTTTACTATCAGATGAGTTTTATAAGGATGGACTTCAAAAAAGTAACATATTAATGCATACTCGGTCAGCTTCTAAATTTGTATTGAGTGTTAACCGTTTTATAAAAGTAATAAGGAACTTGAGGTGGGCTGTATTATGATTACAGTCACGGCTGAAGGGCGTTGTTAGGCACGACACGAAGCTGAGTGCATGCTTGACCCCTTCAGCCACGACTGTATTCACAATACAGCACAGCCTCTCTACGGTACTATTGCTTACATGAAACGTTATTTAAAGGTAAAGTATGTAGTTTGGAGAAACACTAGTGGAACCTAGGTACCTAGTGGAATTACAAAAATAAACCATCAAACAACATAGCAAACACCCCTTTCACAGGTTGCGCCTCCCCCAACTCAAATATCACAATCACAGCTCTTGTGAATTCATGTCACCACAGGTAAATATAGGCTACTTTAAATAAAAGGTTCAACATATTTACTTTTAGCTGTGTTGCTATATGTCATGAGTAAGCAATTGAGAAGGCTAACACTCTGTCTACAGTGAACGCGAGTGTCTTTCTTATAATAAACCAATCGAATGGGCGCATTTTTTGACATGAAGCACCACAACTGTTTAAGGCTGTCTACACCGGACACATCCAAGTAAACCGTATAAGCTGATACAGGGTGCATTGTAGTGTTCAATGTAGCGAGTAACATCGCAATGCCCCGTTCACTTTGATGTGTTCATGACCCGTTTAAACTTTGAAGGTCTAAATGCAGCGAAATTCGACTTGCGGTCCTGTACCCGAAACTGAATGTCTTTTCCCATGTAACGCATCAGCCACGGTCCCACCCTCTGCCTGTTACAGTATACACACCCCAAACTCTCGCTATAGGTAGAGCTAGAAAGTTACTGACGGACCTGAGCGGACTGCTCTCAATGTTTTGATGGTGCCAAGGGGACTCAATGTTTACCCTTTTGGGGGAGATAAACCCATGAATGGCATACTAGTCAATGAACAATAAACTAGGTTAGAAGAATGTATTTTAACGTAAAAAAATATCTTACATACTTCAACTTTTAATTCTTTGAATATTTTGACTCACATTGGCAGATGACTCCAGAATGTTGTTGATGGCTACAGTTGTTTACTCCCCATCCACTTGATGAACAGTTTTTCAGTGTAGATTCATTCCCAGCACATTGAACATCATCCATCCATATTGGCCCTGATCCTTGTCCAAAATAAGGACCTCTTTTAGCTTCTATCACATTCCCACATCCCATCTCTCTACACACCACTGCAGCATCTGACAGACCCCAGCCATCATCACACACTGTTCCCCATTGACCGTTATAGAGAACCTCCACTCGTCCAGAACAGAAGTCACTGCCACTCACCAACCTTACAGCTATTATACACACAAATAATATAAAGACACAAGTACATTTTAGTGTTTTACTCCCACGTACAGTATTTGTTTATCTTCTTTCATTTGAAAAAGATCAGCGACATATGGCATTCAAAAGAACAGGACTTTCTTTTAATCATGATTCCTTTTATTTAGCTCTCATTCCTTTAAAAAAAGAAAATGTACAATATTAAATTTGTGTTAAAAATATGAATGCTTTTAACTCACAATTGCAAATGACTCCAGCATCTTCATGATGTCGACAGTCGTGTATTCCCCATCCTCTTGTCCTACAGTTCTTTAGTGAGGACTCAGTGCCAGCGCAGTTTACATCATCCATCCATATCTGTCCTGATCCTTGTCCAAAATAAGCAACACTCTTTGCCTCTATCACATTCCCACAGCCCATCTCTCTACACACCACTGCAGCATCTGACAGATCCCAGCCATCATCACACACTGTTCCCCACTGACCGTTGTAGAAAACCTCCACTCGTCCAGAACAAGAGTCACTGCCACTCACCAACCTTACAGCTATTATACACACAAATAATATAAAGACACAAGTAGATTTTTGTTACTCCCAAAAACAGTATTTGTGTATCTTCTTTCATTTGAAAAAGATCAGCAACATAGCATTCAAAGGAACAGGACTTTCTTTTAATCATGATTCCTTTTATTTAGCTCTCATTCCTTTAAAAAATTAAAATGTAAAAAATTAAAATGTACAATATTAAATTTGTGTTTAAAATATGAATGCTTTTAACTCACAATTGCAAATGACTCCAGCATCTTTAGAATGCACACAGTTGTGTATTCCCCATCCACTTGTCGTACAGTTCTTTAGTGAGGACTCAGTGCCAGCACAGTTTACATCATCCATCCATATCTGTCCTGATCCTTGTCCAAAATAAGCAACACTCTTTGCCTCTATCACATTCCCACAGCCCATCTCTCTACACACCACTGCAGCATCTGACAGATCCCAGCCATCATCACACACTGTTCCCCATGTTCCATTATAGAGAACCTCCACTCGTCCAGAACAGGAGTCACTGCCACTCACCAACCTTACAGCTATTATACACACAAATAATATAAAGACACAAGTAAATTTTTGTTTTTTACTCCCACGTACATTTGTGTATCTTCTTTCATTTGAAAAAGATCAGCGACATATGGCATTCAAAAGAACAGGACCTTCTTTTAATCATGATTCCTTTTATTTAGCTCTCATTCCTTTAAAAAATTAAAATGTAAAAAAAGAAAATGTACAATATTCAATTTGTGTTTCAAAATATGAATGCTTTTAACTCACAATTGCAAATGACTCCAGCGTCTTCATGATGTCCACAGGTGTGTATTCCCCATCCACTTGTCGTACAGTTCTTTAGTGAGGACTCAGTGCCAGTGCAGTTTACATCATCCATCCATATCTGTCCTGATCCTTGTCCAAAATGAGCAACACTCTTTGCCTCTATCACATTCCCACAGCCCATCTCTCTACACACCACTGCAGCATCTGACAGATCCCAGCCATCATCACACACTGTTCCCCACTGACCGTTGTAGAAAACCTCCACTCGTCCAGAACAGAAGTCACTGCCACTCACCAACCTTACAGCTATTATACACACAAATAATATAAAGACACAAGTACATTTTTGTTTTTTACTCCCACGTACAGTCCCAGCTGGCATTCGACTAACATGAAATCTTTAAATGTGGTTGAAATAATGTCAATTTATGAAAAAACATTAATTCAACGTTAAAACAACGTTGAACACCAAATAGTTGAAGTTGTGTTGTTGACTCACTACGGATTCAACATAGAAATATAAAAAAAAATTGAGTTTTACGTCAAATCAACATTATTTTTACAACCATGACTTTTAAACATTTTGTTGAAATATATCAGTAGAAAAATAATGTTGTTCCAAAATCCAATTTGCAATCTGATTTGCAAAATCTAAACAAAATTCAACGGTTATCCAACACTGGCACCTGACGTTGATTCAACAGTGACTCGACGTTAAAATGCCAGCTGGGGTATTTGTGTATCTTCTTTCATTTGAAAAAGATTTGCGACATATAGCATTCAAAAGAACAGGACCTTCTTTTAATCATGATTCCTTTTATTTAGCTCTCATTCCTTTTAAAAAATTAAAATGTAAAAAAAGAAAATGTACAATATTAAATTTGTGTTTAAAATATGAATGCTTTTAACTCACAATTGCAAATGACTCCAGCGTCTTCATGATGTCCACAGTTGTGTATTCCCCATCCACTTGTCGTACAGTTCTTTAGTGAGGACTCAGTGCCAGCGCAGTTTACATCATCCATCCATATCTGTCCTGATCCTTGTCCAAAATAAGCAGCCCTCTTTGCCTCTATCACATCCCCACAGCCCATCTCTCTACACACCACTGCAGCATCTGACAGATCCCAGCCATCATCACACACTGTTCCCCATGTTCCATTATAGAGAACCTCCACTCGTCCAGAACAGGAGTCACTGCCACTCACCAACCTTACAGCTATTATACACACAAATAATATAAAGACACAAGTAAATTTTAGTTTTTTACTCCCACGTACAGTCCCAGCTGGCATTCGACTGACATTAAACGTTTAACTGTGGTTGAAATAATGTCAATTTATGAAAAAACATTAATTCAACGTTAAAACAATGTTGAACACCAAATAGTTGAAGTTGTGTTGTTGACTCACTACGGATTCAACATAGAAATATCAAAACAATTTGAGTTGTACGTCAAATCAACATTATTTTTACAACCATGACCTTTAAACATTTTGTTGAAATATATCAGTAGAAATATAACGTTGTTCCAAAATATCACTCTATCACATTCCCACAGCCCATTCATACCCACAAACATTATCAAACGTTTATAGTATTTCTCGTGTGTTTTATGCATGTCCCTATGTTTTATTAGTTATGACTAGTTATGATTCTTTAGTTATGTTAGAGTAACTTCCAATGTTGATATCCAAAGATGATGTATCATTGCTTTAAAGGGATACTCCACCCAAAAATGAAAATTCTGTCATCATTTACTCACCCTCAAGTTGTTGCAAACCTGTATGAGTTTCTTTCTTCTGCTGAACACAAAGGAAGATATTTTGAACAACGATTGGAACTTTGGCACCATTGACTTCCATAGTATTTTTTTTTCTACTATGGAAGTCAATGGTGCCAAACAACTGTTTGGTTCCAATTGTTCTTCAAAATATCTTTCTTTGTGTTCAGCAGAAGAAAGAAACTCATACAGGTTTGCAACAACTTGAAGGTGAGTAAATTATGACAGAATTTTCATTTTTGGGTGGAGTATCCCTTTAATGTCATCAAATCCCCACTTTCTTGGTATCAAAAGAATCCTCTTTTGATTTTATAATCAATGGTGTACAATATGTAATTTCAACAAAAATGATAACTAATGCGGCCATGAGTGTGGTTGGCAGTGGATGAGCCAGAGGGATCAGACTACATTACCAGCAGAGGTTGTCCCTGGTCTGACTGTTGTACCGGTGCTGCTGATGTAAGTAACAGCTGAAAAAATAATGACAGATGAATAACAATGAATCAACAAACAAACAAATAATACTGAAGCATACAAAGGGCACATGCAAATATATTTTCCAGCACAGTATATGAAATAATGGCCACTGTTCACTCATAAAAATTCCTGAGTCAGTAGGGCGCTGACAAATCTACTGCTTGGGCACCAAATTATTCTGACAAAATTCAAAAGCCAGTTCCAGTCCTTCATGTTTGAACCCCATTACGTTAAGCTTGATAAATGCAGGCGAGTTCTTAGCCTAGCCTAGTAGCCTAAATGGATATGTACAGTAAAGCTGCTCATTCTCTTGCCGTTTACTATCAGATGAGTTTTATAAGGATGGACTTCAAAAAAGTAACATATTAATGCATACTCGGTCAGCTTCTAAATTTGTATTGAGTGTTAACCGTTTAATAAAAGTAATAATGAACTTGAGGTGGGCTGTATTATGATTACAGTCACGGCTGAAGGACGTTGTTAGGCACGACACGAAGCTGAGTGCATGCTTGACCCCTTCAGCCACGACTGTATTCACAATACAGCACAGCCTCTCTACGGTACTATTGCTTACATGAAACATTATTTAAAGGTAAAGTATGTAGTTTGGAGAAACACTAGTGGAACCTAGGTACCTAGTGGAATTACAAAAATAAACCATCAAACAACATAGCAAACACCCCTTTCACAGGCTGCGCCTCCCCCAACTCAAATATCACAATCACAGCTCTTGTGAATTCATGTCACCACAGGTAAATATAGGCTACTTTAAATAAAAGGTTCAACATATTTACTTTTAGCTGTGTTGCTATATGTCATGAGTAAGCAATTGAGAAGGCTAACACTCTGTCTACAGTGAACGCGAGCGTCTTTCTTATAATAAACCCATCCAATGGGCGCATTTTTTGACATGAAGCACCACAACTGTTTAAGGCTGTCTACACCGGACACATCCAAGTAAACCGTATAAGCTGATACAGGGTGCATTGTAGTGTTCAATGTAGCGAGTAACATCGCAATGCCCCGTTCACTTTGATGTGTTCATGACCCGTTTAAACTTTGAAGGTCTAAATGCAGCGAAATTTGACTTGCGGTCCTGTACCCGAAACTGAATGTCTTTTCCCATGTAACGCATCAGCCACGGTCCCACCCTCTGCCTTAGCCTGTTACAGTATACACACCCCAAACTCTCGCTATAGGTAGAGCTAGAAAGTTACTGACGGACCTGAGCGGACTGCTCTCAATGTTTTGATGGTGCCTAGGGGACTCAATGTTTACCCTTTTGGGGGAGATAAACCCATGAATGGCATACTAGTCAATGAACAATAAACTAGGTTAGAAGAATGTATTTTAACATAAAAAAAATATCTTACATACTTCAACTTTTAATTCTTTGAATATTTTGACTCACATTGGCAGATGACTCCAGAATGTTGTTGATGGCTACAGTTGTTTACTCCCCATCCACTTGATGAACAGTTTTTCAGTGTAGATTCATTCCCAGCACATTGAACATCATCCATCCATATTGGCCCTGATCCTTGTCCAAAATAAGGACCTCTTTTAGCTTCTATCACATTCCCACATCCCATCTCTCTACACACCACTGCAGCATCTGACAGATCCCAGCCATCATCACACACTGTTCCCCATATTCCATTATAGAGAACCTCCACTCGTCCAGAACAGGAGTCACTGCCATTTACCAACCTAATAAAGGCTAACATAAAAAAAGAGTAAAGGGCTCAGAAATGTTTATCTTTATTCAGTAAATGCAATATTTACGTAGCTTTCATCCACCTTCACAGATGACTCCAGCATCTTCAGAATGTCCACAGGTGTGTATTCCCCATCCACTTGTCCTACAGTTCTTTAGTGAGGACTCAGTGCCAGTGCAGTTTACATCATCCATCCATATATGTCCTGATCCTTGTCCAAAATAAGCAACACTCTTTGCCTCTATCACATTCCCACATCCCATCTCTCTACACACCACTGCAGCATCTGACAGATCCCAGCCATCATCACACACTGTTCCCCATGTTCCATTATAGAGAACCTCCACTCGTCCAGAACAGGAGTCAATGCCATTTACCAGTCTGATTTCACTGCCAATAGTGACAGTTGTGCAGCCTGTACATGTTAGAGTCACAGAGACAGATACATTTTTCTATAAGCTCTTAATTCAAAAAATATTATTGGTCATCAGACAGAAGAACGTATGAGGCTATGTTTTTAATGTCAGTATATTGGTCTCCTTACCCAGAAGCAGAAAGAGTTGCACAGACCACAACATATTGGCTGTAAATATATATTTCACATTAGATAATGTGGTTCTTAAATATCAGCATGAATGAAAGCATGAAAGAAGCATCTTCTAGTACTTTAAACAATAATAATAATGTACATAAAAAATCTTTGGTTACACTTTATTTTAAAGTTTCCTTGTTACAGTGTAATTATACATTTAAGTACTGAGTAATATTAATTAACAACATGTACTTACTATAGGGTTAAGATTAGGGTTGGGTTTAGGGTTAGTTTATTATGCATAATTTATTGTTATTAATGGAGCAAGCACATGTAACGTAACAAAGACACTGTAAAATATAGTGTTACCAATCTTTTTTTTTTTGAATTTCATACGATGGGCAATAATTATGTAAAATTACTCTAAAACATCACAAGACTGTCAGTGTAGATGTAAGACAAAAAATATTATTAAAATAATATTTGAAACAGCCCATCACATGAATGCAAAAGTACATAGAAAACACTGATAATATTGTAGTACCTAGTTAGATGGTCGTCTGTGATTTCCTCTTCGTCTAGGATTGAGTTAGTCTGTTTGAAAAGTGATGTGGACGTTTGACAGTTGTACTGACTCACTGGCATCCAAACAGATTCATATAAATATGAAATTACATTTTTTTCCTTCACCCAGTAAATAACACTGGTATCCAAATTCGATAAACAAAACATCTAGGAATTCACACAGGAATATGCAAAACTCTGTGGGATGTAATTTGTTTATAGGGACATATAATACGAGTTTAGTAAGTTACAGACTCTGAACTTTTTTGGCTTGCTTTGTGAGCGTGTTTTTAACACTCAAGTGTACGGGATAATTTTCCATTCCTGAAATGTGAAGGAACTGTTTTTGTTGCATCTAATAGGTAAACTTATTCCAGTTCAGTACTTTGTCTCATGCATATGAACTTCTCTGGTAGGATGGGTTGACCAGGGTGTCCATGGAAATACAAACAAATCTAGGGTTCCAGTTGTCAAGAAGTTGACATTTTGTTTTCATATGCTTTGCATGTCTTTTTAAAGGAAATTCCATGAAAGTGGCCCATCAAAATGATATCATCAAGATATTTTTATATTTGAGCATTCCAATAATTCCCACACGTTTGAGTGGATTTCCATTGAAGTAAAACAACATAAATGATGTTCTTACATCCAACAGTGCATGTTTCTGCTATGTATTGCAAATGAGAAATTCACTCCTGGCTAATTGAATCGACCACCTCCTGAGCATTTAATAGTTCTCAGTGACTCTGAAAGATGGACTGTTGTAAGAGCTTTCTTTCTTATGCTCACCATTGTCATGTAATGTCATCTTAAGGGAGGAGCCGAGAAGGCAGGTGATTCCATATACAAATACAATCACCTGGAAACATCCTTAACTTGATCTCACACCATCACGGAGACGAAGACGCTTCCGAAAGGTCTGACATTTTAACAGGTTCCCCTTAATCTTTTTTGTAATAGCTACTAAATTATTCAACTGGCTATAAATTGAATTCTGCTATTAAGATGCTAAACCAAAGCACAATAAAATAGGTTTGTTGCCTAAAAAATAAATGTGATGATGATGGATTATGCAAACGTTTTTGTGGCATAAACTACTTTTAAACAATAGAACAGACCTTGAAGTTGACTTTTTCTTGTTTATCAGGCAAAACAGTCAAATTAATAATTTTGTATTTCTTTCAGGCACAATGTTAAATTCCTTGTGGCTCATTCTCATGCTAGGTATGAAGAAACATGCAGACATAAACATCGCTCTCTGTATAAAGTTAAAATAATTCGATTTTTTTTTAAGTTGTCAAAAAAAAACTATTCTTTCTACTTCAAAACGTTTATATGTAATTCATTGTGAAATTGCAACGTCTAAGTGAATTGTTTCTACACCACATTTTTTTCAGGGTACTCTTGAAAGATTTAAATGATTGTTAAGACGTATGTTATGGGTTTGTGTGATGCATTTTATAATTCATCCAGATTTCGGAAATGGACCTTCAGTCGAAGCTTTTCTGAGGTTGATGAATGGTATCGGCTTTTGTTCTGGACGAGTGGAGGTTCTCTATAATGGAACATGGGGAACAGTGTGTGATGATGGCTGGGATCTGTCAGATGCTGCAGTGGTGTGTAGAGAGATGGGCTGTGGGAATGTGATAGAGGCAAAGAGTGTTGCTTATTTTGGACAAGGATCAGGACAGATATGGATGGATGATGTAAATTGCGCTGGCACTGAGTCCTCACTAAAGAACTGTAGGACAAGTGGATGGGGAATACACAACTGTGGACATCATGAAGACGCTGGAGTCATCTGTGAAGGTGGATGAAAGCTACGTAAATATTGCATTTACTGAATAAAGATAAACATTTCAGATCCCTTTACTCTTTTTTATGTTAGCCTTTATTAGGTTGGTAAATGGCATTGACTCCTGTTCTGGACGAGTGGAGGTTCTCTATAATGGAACATGGGGAACAGTGTGTGATGATGGCTGGGATCTGTCAGATGCTGCAGTGGTGTGTAAAGAATTGGACTGTGGGAATGTGATAGAGGCAAATAGTGCTGCTTATTTTGGACAAGGATCAGGACCTGTATGGATGGGTGCTGCACAATGTACTGGGATTGAGGCCTCATTGATAAACTGTACATCAACAAGATGGGGAATACAGAGCTGTGAACATTTAAAAGATGCTGGAGCCACTTGTAATAGTGAGTAAAAAGGTCTCTAATACATTTTTCATTTTGCTTTGAAGCCAGTAATGTCATTACTCATTATTTACTCCATGAGTAAGGACTTTAATGTCCTCCTAAAACAGTATGCTGTTGTTTTTTTTATGTTGAACATAAATGAGACTTTTCCAACAGCAGTTAAAGGAACTCCAAAAGGAGAAGGTCCAAAAAAAATCAGCAGACATTTTTACTGTAACAAATATATTGCAAATTTTTAGTTAATATTAGTTGCATTAGCTAATATTAACTAATGGGACCGTATTGGAAAGTGTTACCATTGCATGCCAGATGTAGCTCAACTAGCAGAATTGTAATTTTTACTGCATGGTGAAATATTCTTTGAAGTCAATGAACTTTAAGCAAAAAACTCAGATTTACATGGATGCAAATTCAAAATTATTTCTGTAAATGGTTGTACAGAGATCACACAAACAGTGACAGAATTATTGCATTATGTCTTTTGTAACATGTACATTTAGTATTTTATGTAAAAGCTCTATGTTAAACAAAACTCAGCAATTCTTGGATAATAAATTGCATTTACAAAGAGGTTTTGACCTTTAAAAAAATAAATTGGTGCATTCTATAAGAGTGCAAGGGTTTATGTGTAAAACCTTTCTTTCAACAGATGTGAAGCTGGTGAATGGTTTCAGTGCATGTGAAGGAAGAGTTCAGATTCGGCATCGTGAGCAGTGGGGCGCAGTGTGTTACTCTGGTTGGGATGTAGAAGATGCTACAGTGTTGTGTCAAGAGCTGGACTGTGGAGAAATTGCAGAGCCAAAGGCGTATGTGGGTCCCTCAGTCGGGAAAATATGGATGAATAATGTGACCTGTACTGGAAATGAGCGGACTGTGAGGGACTGTCCTTTTACTGGATGGGGTGTGAGCAGTTGTTTGAATACGCTTCATGCGGGAGTTTCTTGCCAAAGTAAGATCATCTTACATGTGAACTTCCTCAAACGATGTATAGCTTAAAGTCACCATGAAATCAAAATGGAATTCCTCATTTTTACTGAATATCGCAGAATCTATTATAAATAGTTTATCAGTGCACATCGTTATTATTAATTTTTTTAATGTGCCCTCAAAATTCTCTGGTAATGTGTTTACTGGTGTGAGGGCGGGACAACCTGTCACTCATAAGATCGACCAATAGCAAACCAGAACCATACAATCAATTCCCATTTGACAAAATGAGGTGCTGCTCCATATTTTCTCTTGTTTGAGAAGCCATTTCACTCAGATATTTGTCACAATATAGGGAAGAAAAGACTATTTGCCGACTTTAAGAATTAGGTCATTCTCTTGTGTTTTCCTGGCAAATGCAATGAAAAGATGCCATAATGACATACCGTTCATCTTTTAAAGCCCCCGTCAATGTTTTACTTCACAGAAACTGTGAGACGAGTTGTGGTGAGGATTATGGTGAAGACCAAGATTGAAGTCAATGTCAATGACCCACAAATCAAGAAGGATCTTTTGGACAAGGTGAGGTTCATGTGCTTAATAAGTGTTATGTGTAACTTGAGTGTTTTCTTACTAAGATTTCCCTGAATTTCACAGATAAGGAAAGTGGTACAAATTACAGGGAAGTATAGTGTGAACTGGAGAACACAGCCTGATGAGCAGGTATTTCACAAACAGAAAACAGCCACAGGTTTGTAAACTGAATGGTGTTGTACTACTTATATTTCTGTAATATTATATAATTGATATTTTAATTATAAACCTGTTATATTCACAGGTCCTTTTTGAATGACAGAAAAGCACGAAAACACAGACTCTAACCCTAATTATGATAAAGTAATGCTATTTTCTCTGTTGCTTCACTGTCTTATAATCAAAAGTCATCAAAAAACGTTCTAGGTGGGGCTCAAGTAACACTAAGAGCTAGTCAATCAAATCAGACCTTCCCACATAATTTGCCTGAGAACGAAATGCCTCATGAAAGAGATGCCTTATATTTACAGCTCTTTTAAACATTAGAATAATGAATATTATATATGTGGAAATGAAATGTGTATATAATGTACGGGTGCTTCCTGGTGTCAGAGAGAGACCAAAGTGAAATAAAGTAGATTTTTACATTTATTTACAAGAATTGTACTTTCTGTGACACGATTAATCGGCTTTACTCAAGATAAATGTATGTAATGAGATTAATACATATTTAAGAAAATTATCTTACAGAATTTAAATATTTTAGGAGGTTATGTTGTATTAAAATATATTGCATCAGAAATCAAATAAACATGTGAACTTGTAAAGAAAATCAAAGTTTTACATTTTTATTTTCCTTTCACCTCCAACCAATGACAATGGCCTTCAAAATGATGACAAACCTTCACCGACTTTGACCTGCTGCAACCTAAACAATGATGTTCTTTATATTATCCTTTATTTTATTAAACCCTTTTCAGTATACAAACACTTCTAAAATGTCTTCATCGTCTGGATGATTCTGCCAGAACTGCCGTTCTCTTGAATTGGTCATGAAAGGTAATTTCTCATGCGGCTCCTGTGGAAATAACAGATACAAAAACCTGTAACTATTTGAATAAAAATGATATATTCTTTAAAATCTTTAAAATGAGCCCATTCAGAAGGAGTTTACAAACCTGTCAGGGATCAAATAATTTCTGTTCCTGAAACACTTTCCCATTCGACTGAGTTCTCCACTTGACAGAGAAATTTCCATTCTTTTTGACCTCATTTTTAATCTGTACAATTCAGATGAATGAGACCACAGACTCTCAATGGCAACAATAGAAAAGTGAAAAAAAGCTAATTGAATTAGGAAAATTCATTACTTTGTCCAGTAGTTTTGTCATGTGTGAAGGCTCGTTGGGATTAACAGAGTCAGCGTTCACCTTTATCCTGAGCACATTTCTAATCTCTGTAAAGAAGATAGCAGATCTTAATATGGTAATAAAATATTATGCCCATTCCCCAAGATAACAAGATGCATTTCTTTTAAGAATTTGGTTTTATATTTGTTGTTATTTCATGTTATTACAGTTGTTGTTGTATTTTTTTGCATGATGTCATATGGTTTAAGTTAATCATTTTATGTTTAATTTAGAAATACATTTTCTTGGTTAATATTTGCAAATGCAGAGAACAGATTCTGGTTTGGTCATGGACCCACCTTTGCAGATGATTCCTGCATCATATGCATGAATGCATTGATGGTTTCCCCACCCACCAAATCGGCAGTTCCTGAGGTTTGACTCGTCTCCTCTGCATCTGAGGGAATCCATCCATATCGGCCCCGCGCCGGCCCCAAAATGGGCATTTGTCAAGGGCTCTGCCTTTCCACCACAGCCCAGCTCTCTACATAGTACTAAACCATCTGCGATATCCCAGCTGTTGTGGCACACTGTTCCCCACTGGCCATCATGAAACACCTGCACTGTGCCCTGACAGGGGTTGTTCCCATTCACCAACTTCACCTCTAGAAAGAAGTCAGAAGAGTTCCTGATCTGCCTCTGTGTTTACATTAATAATTGCGGTGTAAAAATACATGATATGTCCATCTGACCCTGATAATTGAATGCATTTGAGTAACACTTTATTTCACATAGTTACTATAGTAATTACTATAAATTACCACACACCCTAATCTTAACTCTAAAGTAATGACTTCCTCATCTTATCTCGAAATCAAGTTATGTCATCCTAAAACAATATGCTGAGGTAAAGTATTATTGCTCAGTACTTAAATATATAATTGCACTGTAACATAGTCACCTTAAAATACGTGTTACCTGTATTTGTAACATAATTTGATACAGTTTTTCGGTAATACTTTATTTTGATGGCCCCCGTTACACATGTTGGCTATAAGTAATCTTGCATTTCACCCAAGATCCAGTTGCAATTGTGATTTTCGAACAGTTGTCAGAGTAAATAGACCCTTAATTAAAGTAATAAAGTAGTGATAAGTCTTTTCACAGACTGTGATGATGCATTTCCAGTTGTAAAAAAAAAAAAAAAAATCCATGTACATTTATAACACTATACTTTGCGTTTAATTACCTTAGCATTAAATTATGGAAAACTAGTTAATGCTGCTGTGTGAGTGTTTCTAATACAACGGTTGAGGGTGTTACGGCAAATTTGACAGTTTTTGTTCACCACTATTGAAGTTTATCCAACTGTGATGATGACTATACATATACATGTATAAAAAATAAAATAAATAAAAAAATGTAAGAAAATGCAGTCAGAAAGTTCTTAGACATCTAGTTTACCTCGGCAGATGACACCTGCATCCTGTGCGTGCACACAGCTGTGTACTCCCCATTGTCTTGATGGACAGTGCTTCACTGAGGCCTCTCTGCCTGAACATCTCACATCATCCATCCATATTGGTCCTATACCACTTCCGAAATAACCATTTGTCTTTACCTCTACCGGACTTCCACAGCCCAGCTCTCTACAGACAACTTGAGCGTGATTCATACCCCATATTTCTCCACAAACAGTTCCCCACTGATTGTTTATAAGAACCTCCACCCTTCCAGAACAACTGCTGCCTCCATTTACCAATCTCACTTCTGAGAGACAAGAGTAAGTACATATCTCAGACAATATACATATAACAACTGTATACTGTTTACTATTATCTTTTATACATTTCAGGTCAGAGCTGGTTGTCACGTGTAATATGTACAATTTATTAATTATTTAATAAAATAATAATAATTTGAATTTGTTGGCCAAAACACATTTTTCATGTTTGCTTTATTTGTTAAAATTGGTTAAAAAATGAAATAGACTACAATGTTAGGTTCCCATTGTGAACAGCTTTTGTGGCACAAAAGGTCAACAAGTAAAATTAACTATTTTTTCCTGGATAAAGGACCCTTTTCACTGTGATGATGTGTTTACAGGGTTATTAACACTGTACATCTAGCAAAAGTGGAAGTTTTTTTTTATATATATATATATTTTTTTTTGTATAATGTACCTTTATAACCGTTTTACTAACTTGGCATTAAATACAAGTAAAATGGTTTCAGCGACATTTCTCTTTTCTGACCAACATAATACATTTTTATCCTCTTTTAGAAAGTCAGAGAAATTGTCAATTATTTGCTATTATAGCAAATGGGAATGCAAAAAATATATTTGTTGTAATTTCCATTCACCAATATAGAATTTTACCCAACTATGATGACTTCTTCTTCTGAGAACCACAGAAATGTGAAAAGGGTCCGTAGCAGTGGAAATGTCCATAAGCTTTTAGTCAAGACTAAAGTTTAGAGTCTATTCAGAGACTGACTGTCAGAATCAAACCCACGCTGAGAGGGAAAAGAGTGACAACTAGCGCTGAAATGTGCAATTTTCAACATGGCTCTATTCTTTTCTTGCAATAATAAATAAAGTATATATAAGCACATTTGTTCAATTCAAACCTCTTCTTGTTTTAATTTACCTCCGCAGGCGACTCCTGCATCCTGAGAATGTGTACAGAGGCTGTTTACCGAGCCAGAGAATCTGCACTCCTTCAGTGAGGACTCACTCCCGCTACACTGTAAACTATCCATCGATATGTTACCTGAACCGATCCCGAAATAAGCTCCAGGGTATGTCTGTATAAGAGGACCACAGCCAAGCTCTCGACACAGCACAAGACCATCCAGTGGGTCCCAATTGTTGTGACAAACTGTGCCCCAATCTCCATTATAATGAACCTGTACAGTGCCATAACAAATTTGTCGGCCGTTTACCAGTTTGACCTCTGAAAGGAGAATAATTCAGATGAATTCACAATGCATTTAACATGCAATCTTGACGTAATAATTGTAGTTCCCAGAGTTTGTCGTTCGCACTTACCTCTGCAGACAACTCCTGCATCATTGTTGTGTGTAATCTGTTTATTTGTGTTTATCCCTGAAATACAGTTTTTCAGAGAGGGTTCATTCCCAGCACACTTGGTATTATACATCCATATACTACCTGAACCCTTCTTAAAAAAAGATCCACTCGTGAGACTCAGCACACTCCCACAAGCGACCTGTTTGCAGATCACATCTCCACCCAACAGATTCCAGCCGTAATCGCTAACCGTTCCCCACCCATGATCATCATAGAGGACCTCCACCCTGCCGGAGCAAGAGTTTTCTCCATCTACAAGCCTAACCTCTAAAGAAGAGAAAGGAGGACGTTTGTGAGAAAAATGACTACCAGCATGTATATGTTTACATGTACTCAAAAAATCTGTTAGAAATGAGATTGAAAAGCCTTCATGTAAACACTTCATTTGATCCAAATGAGCTCGATCGGAATGATATTTCGATTGGGGTGGTGAATACCTGAAATAATCTGATCAATAGGAAATAACTTAGCATGTAAACGCTTGAATATGATCTTCTATATCGGATTCAAAGATACCTTAAGCACATGTTTACCAGATTCTTTTTATGAGATCGTTGCTTACGAATTGTTTATTTATGTTCTTCGAACTGCTCTATTTGTCAGAATTTGTCAGCTAACCCTAACCTATACCTAAAGAGGTCAAGGCAAACATTTTCAAAAGTATTTGAAGTTCGTGGCATAGTTTGTTATTGCAGGGACATCAACGTTAAATTTTCCCCACGGTTCATGGGTATGCTCTTATCTCGTTAGTTGATTAATTGAATGTGCTCCTCCCATGTTAATTAGGTTAATTATCTAAATGTGCTCCTCCCGAACTTTGATAATAAAACCATTATTTGTGTGAACAGGACATTTCGAGACTCACACCTGTAAGTAAATGCGTTTGTCAATCCCAAAAACTGACAAGTGTAAACGTAGCCTTGGATTGACAAAAATTAGCGCATGTAATCATAAAGTGTATTTTTTGGCTTTAATTTCATATTCAAGTGCACTGTAAAAAATGATCGTGATTTTAACGGTAAAAGACTGTAAAAATGCTACAGTAAAAAACTGTTAATTGGTTAACAGAAAGTTTCCTTACTATATACGGTCAATAATTATGATAGATCTAACGGTACATTTAATGTAATTTTACTGTAAAATACCGTTAAATTTACAGTTTTTGAAAGTGAAAAGAACAACTCATTCTATAATTTACTGTGAAAAAACGTAAATTGACATTCCCACAATTCCCTGCATGACACTTCACATTTGATTTATTTTTGTTGAAATAACAATGTTTCTTCTTAGTTTTCTTAGCTTTGATTTATCATGTGACTGGTTTTTGGTTGTCAGTGTATTACAATGGTACAAATCAGATATTAATACTTCAATAGGTTGGTAAATTATCATTATATTAGATAATGAATTACGGGTTATTACTGTAAATTTTAAGTTAAGTCTGTAAAACCAAAAACGTTGATTCCGTATTTTTGACGGTAAAGTTCTGGTAACCACAGCTGCCAGTTTTTTTCCGTAAAAACAACGGGATTTTTTTACAGTGTGGGCGTACCTACCTAAACAGGTGAGTCCAGCATCATCCGCATGTGTACAGTTGCTCACTCCCCAACCGCTAAACACACAATCTTTCAGTGAAGTCTCTCGGCCCCTGCAGGTGATGCCATCCATCCATACTTTACCCGATCCCTGATAGAAAAAAGCATTGTAGTATAAAGCCACTGGATTTCCACAGCCACGTTCTGTGCAGGCCACCAATGCGTCCATGAGATCCCAGTTGGTGTCACAGACCGTTCCCCACTCTCTGTTATGGAAAATCTCCACTCTCCCTGAACACATGCCACTGCCATTTCGAAACTTTATGGTGGCTGTGGAAGTGAAAATGAAATGTTATGCAAGTTCTTTCACTCTTAAAAATAAAGGTTCTTTGTTGGCATTGATGATTCCATGACCTTTAACATCCATGGAACCTTTCCGATGCACAAAATGTTCCTTAATATTGGAAAATGGGTTCTTTATTGGCATCAATGGAACCTTAACATCCATTGAACCTTTCCATTGCACTAAATGTTCTTTAATCTTTAATAATGAAAAAAAAGGTTCTTTGAATTATTAAAATATATTCTTCACATGAAAGCTTTTTAAGGGGACCCAAAATGGTTCTCCTTTTGCATTGCTTTGAAATCTCCCTTTTGGAACCTTAATTTTTTAGGAGTGTTGGAATGATATATGATTTAGACAATAACGTGAATGTAACCTACAGTCACAGACAACTCCAGCGTCTTTCATGTGGTCACACGCATCGGTGTGGTTATCCCAATCGCAGTCGAGCACCGAGCTCTCATTCCCAAAACAGTTCAGGTCGTCTGTGAGTAGTGGTCCCGTACCCTTGCCAAACAAATCACCAGAGTGTATGGATAGGAGAGGACCACAACCTGCTTCCATGCAGATCATTTGGGCTTCGACTTCATCCAGTCCTTCGTAACAAATGGTGCCCCAGTCGTCACTGTAAATCTCAACCCTTCCAGAACAGCCCTTAACACCATTTACCAACCTCACCATAGCGTCATTAGTTGTACTGGTTAAACTGGATGTACTGACGGCTGCATTTTCTACATAGTCTGTTTGAAAAATACAAAAAGTTTAGGGGAGTCACATACACAATGTGTATTATTTATTGAATAGGAATTTTATTATTAAAGGATTTGCATGCATATATGTGTGTCTCACCCAGAAGCAAAATGAAGCTCAGAAAGTACAGCATAGTGACTGAAAAGAGACAAAAGTTATTGTACCAATAAGCAGCAGTAACTGAAAACCACTTTAGCAAAAGGACCTTGATAATTTAGTATTGCTCAACAATGAGTTAAAATGTGATTTATCTTCAGCAAAATGCTCAGCAGATTTTTATAAAAATTCTGAATATTTGCGCCACACTTGGATTGAATGAAAATGGGATGTTTATGGTTGATCATTTTATCTTTTCAGATTTTTTTTTAAACAATTACCAAATAAACAAGACAAAAAATGTTTCAGACAATAGGTAAATTCAAATTTCTTACAACTACAGTAGTATATCATATTAAATATTAATTTAATTTAATTATTAAATTATAAAAAATTATATTCAATGATTGCTCACAATATATGCCCTTTCATGTTAAAAAAAGAGACCTAAAAATCATGGGGTTATTTTTAAATATCATGGTGACACCAAAGTCATTCAACAACAAACTGACAGTCCCACAAAACGGAGCTTGAAAAAATTATGTTTTAACATTAATGAACAAAAGATCACTACAAATAAACAAAAAGAAAATAAGTAAGGCGTACAAACCTTTGGATGTCACTCGTCTGGTGCTCAGAGGATGACTGAACGTCTGTTTAGGGGTGTAAGAGAGCTTTGTGAACAGAAAGCAGCATGAACCCACTTGAGCCCCTCCTTCACAGACGACAGTACAAGAAACAAATATACTCAAAATAACACGCACACTGCCAGAAAGCAACGAATCTCCATCACTCTAAAAATCATGGGTTGTTTCAACCAAACTTTGGGTCAAATATGGACAAACCTAACCATTGGGTTACATTTTTAAATGACATTTTTAACCCAACATTTGGGTTTGTCCATATTTGACCCAAAGCTGGGTTAAAACAACCCAGTATTTTTTAGAGTGATGTTGCCGGTGGACGACTCTGAGGAAAGCATGTTCATTTAAGTATGTGAAGGGGGGTGCAAAAGTGATTTTAATTTTACATATTACAAACTACTCCAACCAATGAACATGTATACATTTAAGCAATGTCTAATGCAACAGAGTAAACAACAGGGAATTAAAAAAATGCTAAAACGCATTGTTTTATATCATTGGTTCCGATAATTTCTTGCCACGCGTCTTATGAGCACGACAGCCACATTTGGCAATCAAATCTTGATTTAACTATTCAAATAGGCCAAGAAGAGCAAAGAATAGCTTGCAAACGTGCTCCCTGGTGTTACAAGAATATGCAAATAAGCATCTTTAAAAAAAACTTGAGGCTGGAAACATACATGTGAAAGCATTTCCCAGCTGGCATTCGACTGACATTAAACGTTTAAATGTGGTTGAAATAATGTCAATTTATGAAAAAACATTAGTTCAACATTAAAACAACGTTGAACACCAAATAGTTGAAGTTGTGTTGTTGACTCACTATGGATTCAACATAGAAATATAAAAAAAAATTGAGTTGTACGTCAAATCAACATTATTTTTACAACCATGACTTTTAAACATTTTGTTGAAATATATCAGTAGAAAAATAACGTTGTTCCAAAATCCAATTTGCAATCTGATTTGCAAAATCTAATCAAAATTCAACGGTTATCCAACACTGGCACCTGACGTTGATTCAACAGTGACTCGACGTTAAAATGCCAGCTGGGTTGCTATATGGGTTTCCAACAGTGACTAAATGAACAAATGTTAAGCCAATGTTTTAAAACGTGTTTTCTTACATAACGGAACTAAATCTGGACATTCAGGGTAAAAGACACTTAAATATTACACCCATTTTAATATTACAGTTTTGTTCAACTGTTTAAACACAAAATCCTTACTTGTCACACGTTTTCTGAAACCTGACACTAGAAACACCAGAATCACACACCAAATCTGCAAAACCATACACTAATTCTCTGCCTTCGACTCAATTTTCAATTTCATAAAACACATTTTGGAAACCACAACACACAATTGTATCACACAATAATGTAACAGGAAGTATCTTGATTTCCTTTTTTAAACAAAACCTATCAAAATGCCACAGTAATTCATCCATGCCTCACACACACCTACCTCCTCCCATGTGCAAACACTCATTGCTTTTGCTAAACACCAACCAATCATGGTTTTAGAATAGGACTATAAATAGGCCAAAGGTCAAGTTATGGGTTTTTCGGACTGTGTAATAATGTTTTCACAACCACAAATGCTTACAGCAAAAAAAAAAAATGGTTTGGTTTCAAACTTGCTTTCGTGTTTACCATCAATTTTTCAAGATCTCTCTGCCAATTACATTCAACCTTGTACAGAAATGTACATAGGAGCTCATGAAAGAAAGGCTTTAGGTTTTGAATAACTGTGTATATGATATCCAAAATATAATATTATGGCAAAGGTGTTTGCAACGTAAGACAAATATTTGCTTTTGAGATGTGTTTGTAATATTTTGAATGCAATGATTCATTTTGCAAGAGACGTGAGGCATTTTGTGTGTGCTATTCTTGGATTTGTGTGTAAAGTTTTATGAAAAAAAAGAGGCAAAAAAAAACTGTAATATATAAACTGCGGAGCTCCTAAAGGGACATGGTTATGCAAAAAAATAATAATAATAAGATAGGAAAAATGTACAGTATGTCAATGCTTTTGAGTTCTCTCGCTAAATGTTTGGGTTCTCCCTATGCGTTCGCTTTCAAATGCTTTGCAAGCGAACGTAAAGTTTCTCGGGTGAACGCAAAATTATTGCGAGGAAACAAAGTTTCTCAGGGAAACGCAAAAGTTTTATGAGAAATTGCAAAATTTTGGAAAAATATTTTTTCCTCCCATCTGTAATGAATCATCAGAATCCAGATACAGATACCGTTTCTGCTTGTTCTTTAAATGCCTCACAATGTGCTGTGCTTCAAATGGCCTTCAACAACTTTAATGTCATTTTCATTGTCATATTTTTCCTCAGTATTTTGCACAGTTGTTCCCTTGTATAGTTTTCAAGGCAAACCAATGCAAATCTCTGCCTGACACATACATTTGTCTTGGTTTAGCTTTTTCTTGCATTGTACATAAAGCACTGACAAAGGCCAAATGGGAGAAGAGTAAGACTGCTTGTAACAACTCCACTCATAAACATTCAAATTCAACTCACAGAGGTTTGCATAAGGGCATCATTGTTCAAGTAACATCGAAGTAACATGTATGTATGTAACAATATGTACACTCACCTAAAGGATTATTAGGAACACCTGTTCAATTTCTCATTAATGCGATTATCTAATCAACCTGTTGCATGCTTAGTTAGTATGATAATCTGATGTTTGTTACATTTATAAGATAGAACGAATGCTTGTTTCTTTAAGGGTTGGGGAACGGAAGTGACGTAAAGGTTTGAATATTTTTTGACACACTGTTCGGTGATGTGAACAAGAACAATAAAGAAGCCAAGTAAGCTCAAGTACGAGTCGTATTTACAGACATAACACAACCAATCACATGGCAGTTGCTTCAATGCATTTAGGGGTGTGGTCCTGGTCAAGACAATCTCCTGAACTCCAAACTGAATGTCAGAATGGGGAAGAACGGTGATTTAAGCAATTTTGAGCGTGGCATGGTTGTTGGTGCCAGACGGGCCGGTCTGAGTATTTCACAATCTGCTCAGTTACTGGGATTTTCACCCACAACCATTTCTAGGGTTTACAAAGAATGGTGTGAAAAGGGAAAAACATCCAGTATGCGGCAGTCCTGTGGGTGAAAATGTCTTGTTGATGCTAGAGGTCAGAGGAGAATGGGCCGACTGATTCAAGCTGATAGAAGGGCAACTTTGACTGAAATAACCACTCGTTACAACCGAGGTATGCAGCAAAGCATTTGTGAAGCCACAACACGCACAACCTTGAGGCGGATGGGCTACAACAGCAGAAGACCCCACCGGGTACCACTCATCTCCACTACAAATAGGAAAAAGAGGCTACAATTTGCAAGAGCTCACCAAAATTGGACAGTTGAAGACTGGAAAAATGTTGCCTGGTCTGATGAGTCTCGATTTCTGTTGAGATATTCAGATGGTAGAGTCAGAATTTGGCGTAAACAGAATGAGAACATGGATCCATCATGCCTTGTTACCACTGTGCAGGCTGGTGGTCGTGGTGTAATGGTGTGGGGGATGTTTTCTTGGCACACTTTAGGCCCCTTAGTGGCAATTGGGCATTTTTCAAATGCCACGGCCTACCTGAGCATTGTTTCTGACCATGTCCATCCCTTTATGGCCACCATGTACCCATCCTCTGATGGCTACTTCCAGCAGGATAATGCACCATGTCACAAAGCTCGAATCATTTCAAATTGGTTTCTTGAAAATGACAATGAGTTAACTGTACTAAAATGACCCCCACAGTCACCAGATCTCAACCCAATAGAGCATCTTTGGGATGTGGTTGAACGGGAGCTTCATGCCCTGGATGTGCATCCCACAAATCTCCATCAACTGCAAGATGCTATCCTATCAATATGGGCCAACATTTCTAAAGAATGCTTTCAGCACCTTGTTGAATCAATGCCACGTAGAATTAAGGCAGCTCTGAAGGCGAAAGGGGGTCAAACACAGTATTAGTATGGTGTTCCTGATAATCCTTTAGGTGAGTGTATGTTCAAGTAACATCGAGCTAATCGAAGACCGGTCACACTAGACACATTATAAAAGGGTCATAGTATGAAAACCTTAAATGCTTAAGCATTTGATGAAATGCATCATCATTCATAACCTTAAATGCTAAATTCAGATTACTCTACCTTAGTTTTTCATGTTATGTTATGTAAGGACATAAGATCAGCAGATCTTAAACAGATTCTTAAATTTGTAATCCTACATTATTAAAAAAGACTA